AAATTGTAAGGAAAAATAAAATCTAGAGTGACTAAACGTGTAACGAAATAAACTTTGAGTGACTAAATATGTAACGAAAAATAAAGCTAGAGAGACTAAATATGTAACGAAAAATAAAGCTAGAGAGACTAAATATGTAACGAAAATAAAGCTAGAGAGCCTCAACATGTAACAAAAACAAGCAGGGAACAATAGAAGTTTATCTCGGGCTGTTGTAGTATTGTCTCCCCTGCAACCATCGATTGAAGTATCGACGCCATATTGATCGCAGGCTGATGGCTTTTATGTTCCGCTCTGTTGCTTTAAGCACCCCGGTGCTACAGTGGCGCCAGGTTTTATGGCTGGCTCTCCAAGGATCACAGCGACCTTTTTCTGTAGCCGAGGGCACAGCACGTACAATGTAAAAAATGTCAACTTATTTTTAGAAAGCTAACATACTGTATTGGGTGGCGAAATCAGAGTACTAGCAACTGTCCCGGGCATAGATACTCTTTCTAAACGTCCTGCCCATTTTTTGAGAGAGAGAAAACCTAATGGTAAACATGTGTATGTGAACATTTAGTTTTTATACTTTTGTAATTGCGGGAAGTATCGTAATATATATATATATATATATATATATATATATATATATATATATATATATATATATATATATATATATATATATATATATATATATATATATATATATATATATATATATGCAGCTAGAAAATATATAATAGAGAGTTGTTTATAAACGTGTATACTGCATTTCTTTATACACTATAATATATTTATCGCGCCGTCGAACACTTTCAATAAGCTTTTATGTCCTGTGTGCGTTTAGATTTGAATTCCCATGGGATGTATTTAACTGCCCCCCCCCCCCCCCCCCCCCCGTGTTGTTATGCACTAAATGTTTTCAACGCCCACTGAAGCGGTGATTTGAATAGTGTACATTGCTGTTTCATTTCCTTTGGGTGCAGCCTTTCTGCTGTTTGTTTTTGTTTACTGCTAAGGCTATCACGTGATGCGGATTGCTGTTTGATTATTCGTGGTACTGCTTTCGCTGTTCGATTATTCCCCCCCCCCCCTCTCCAATTCAGCTGAAGGTCTTTGATTTAACCTAATACAGCTGTGATCTCTCGGTACGGTTATCACGTGGTGTCAACACTTTTTATCAATCGCCTTGAGGTAGGGCGAAGACTGTGGACATGGAGGAGGTCACGGGTCGTGCTAATGCAACTTGAATACAGCGCCCCGGGGGGCGGGCGTGGGGCGCCTGTTGACACACGTGTTGACAGGATCGCTTAGCGTGATCCCGCGAGAGTCACCGCGTGGGTTGAGCCTCTGTACTGTCCGGCACATTCCAGCGCTTGACCAGTGACTGACGTAAGTGTCGTATCACTGGGCATACAGAGCGAATCACGTCATCGTTCACACGTGTCCGGTGTGTCCACGAATCGAAGTGTTTAGCCGAGAGTTAACTCCTGCCCTTGGTTGTTACCGAGTTATCTCCCACCCCTGGCTGTAGCAGAGTTATCTCCCACCCCTGGTTGTAGCAGAGTTATCTCCCACCCCTGGTTGTAGCAGAGTTATCTCCCACCCCTGGCTGTAGCAGAGTTATCTCCCACCCCCTGGCTGTAGCAGAGTTATCTCCCACCCCTGGTTGTAGCAGAGTTATCTCCCACCCCTGGCTGTAGCAGAGTTATCTCCCACCCCTGGCTGTAGCAGAGTTATCTCCCACCCCTGGCTGTAGCAGAGTTATCTCCCACCCCTGGTTGTAGCAGAGTTATCTCCCACCCCTGGCTGTAGCAGAGTTGCCTCCCACCCCTGGTTGTTACCGAGTTATCTCCCACCCCTGGTTGTAGCAGAGTTATCTCCCACCCCTGGCTGTAGCAGAGTTGCCTCCCACCCCTGGTTGTTACCGAGTTATCTCCCACCCCTGGTTGTAGCAGAGTTATCTCCCACCCCTGGCTGTAGCAGAGTTATCTCCCACCCCTGGTTGTTACCGAGTTATCTCCCACCCCTGGCTGTAGCAGAGTTATCTCCCACCCCTGGCTGTAGCAGAGTTATCTCCCACCCCTGGCTGTAGCAGAGTTATCTCCCACCCCTGGCTGTAGCAGAGTTATCTCCCACCCCTGGTTGTAGCAGAGTTATCTCCCACCCCTGGTTGTAGCAGAGTTATCTCCCACCCCTGGCTGTAGCAGAGTTATCTCCCACCCCTGGTTGTAGCAGAGTTATCTCCCACCCCTGGCTGTAGCAGAGTTGCCTCCCACCCCTGGTTGTTACCGAGTTATCTCCCACCCCTGGTTGTAGCAGAGTTATCTCCCACCCCTGGCTGTAGCAGAGTTATCTCCCACCCCTGGCTGTAGCAGAGTTATCTCCCACCCCTGGCTGTAGCAGAGTTATCTCCCACCCCTGGCTGTAGCAGAGTTATCTCCCACCCCTGGCTGTAGCAGAGTTATCTCCCACCCCTGGCTGTAGCAGAGTTATCTCCCACCCCTTGGTTGTAGCAGAGTTAGCTCCCACCCCTCCTTGTTATCTCCTACGCCTACACGTTCTTTCAAAACGGAAATGCTGAAAATTTAAAGTAATTCCTATTATTGAGAAGAAAATGTTTAAACATATACATGATAATACCGAAATAGTAAGCCTATTCAGCATTCATCTAAAATTAAATTTCGTTTTTTATTGTATTTAAACTGTAACATATTTCGATTCTCGGGTGTATTTTTAAAAGTCCGGTGTTTACACAGGGGTTCATTAGGCATTTACTAGTTCTCAAGGAGTTATCTCCCCAGGACACCCAGACTAGTTCTCAATAAGGAGTTATCTCCCAGGAATCCCAGCATGGTTTTCAATAAGGAGTTATCTCCCAGGATTCCCAATCCCAGCATAGTTCTCAAGCACGAGTTATCTCCCAGGAATCCCAGCATAGTTCTTAAGGAAGAATTCAAAACTAGTTTAATTTCGAGTGCATTTAATCACAAGACATTAATTCACGAGCACGATTATCTCCCTTCGAGTACAGATCTATCCCACGGAACACCAACAGTCCAACGTGTGTATGTAGTACCTATGTTGTATACCACCTTTGTGTAGGGGTTCTCTCAGTTTTATTTTCTCCTTACAACGACAATAGATACAAAAAAACGTGTCCTTGTAACACGGATCTACCTACAGCCGTTCCCACACCGTGTTACAAAAGACCCCTCTGTGTTTCCCTGATCTACCTTTACATTACCTGCACGTTCAAAGCCCTGAATACCTGTGAGAAGGTAGACTCGACCCGCCCATCTATGACTGGGTATTTCCATCGGCCGCTTATTCAACAACCGGATAAAGGTAGAAAGAGAAGAAGAAAAAAGTTCGTGTACCCTATGGGTTTTACTTGTAACTGCGTCAGATTTACGATGCCGTTACAGCCTTGATTGTTTGATAGGACAGCCCTTACACCGGCTACGATAACGTCGTATGAGCTTGTCTTGTGCCGGCGGCAGCCAATCAAAAACGTGCTTGCCGGTCCTGAGAACGTGACGTCGCGAGGTCAAGCTTGACGTCACGAGTTGAAACCGTTTCAATGTGGCGGCGAAGCTAATGTTGCGTGTCGCGTTTTCCCTCTTAACTTTTCATCTCGCAACAATACAATATTGTCTGATTTAATTGATGTTTTATATGAGTAAATTATTACCCCCTTTTTATGTAGACCTAGGTAATGTTTACTAGGCGCTTTAAAGTATGCAGTTTAAGCACTTTGCACTAATGATTTTAGGTAGAATTTAATCGCAAATTTAAAAATTACCACCAAAACTTAAATTGGAGCCCGACCTATTAATGCTATCCTGACTTTGGACAACCCCTCACTGATTAAAGGAAACTCTTCATTGTCTATCAAAAGACTAGCATTTGGCTAGCACTTAAACTCAAGAGTTTCGGAGTAACGTTTGCGTGTATTAGCATTGTCATTTATGTCGTACAAGCTCTACCATTTATGTAGTACAAGCTCTGACATTTATGCAATACAATCTTTAAAGGGTTAACTTTAACTTCATGTAACTTCAATCACTGGTACCTATAAAATTTAATGAAATCTCAATAGTGAACTCGTGTTTACCTTGTTATTCAAGAAAAGTGCGGGTGTCACGTTTAGCCCGGGGAGAGAGTGTAAAAAATACTTAAAAAAAAAACTTTTTAAAAAACCACGTTTTTCTTGTGGACTAAAAGGTAGAAAATAAAATTTTCTTTTGTGCTTCCTCGAGCTGTGCAGGTTCTTGTGATGACTGACAAAAAACGTGGGTACGTTCACCATCAAATTTCCCGACCCATCTGCCCGACCCACGTTTTTTGTCAGTCATCACAAGAACCTGCACAGCTCGAGGAAGCACAAAAGAAAATTTTATTTTCTACCTTTTAGTCCACAAGAAAAACGTGGTTTTTTAAAAAGTTTTTTTTAAGTATTTTATTTTCTCCTTTTTAGTCCGTTGCTACACATGAAAAACGTGGTTTTTAAAAAAGTGTTTATAAATACACGGACTAAAAACTTGAGCGACCAGGATTCGAACCTGGGTTGTCGCGGCCACAACGCGAAGTACTAACCACTATACGATCACGGCCAGCGCGCTCACATCGATTGGGGGCCGAAGTAACTGGGTCAATAGGCCTCCAGTCTTGTCGGTATCTTTAGAAATCATGTCCTCAATTTTATGGTCCTTGGGGCGTAATTAAATTAAGCTAATTACGGTCACTAATTGCTAGTTTTTATGATTGCATCTGAAATTGTTAGGCGAAAGTAGCATGCATGCCAAATTTCAGGTCTATAGAGCAATCAGAAGTGGGCTAATTTTCGATGTCAATTTTAACAACAAACATCCAAACAAACAAACAAACGCGAAGCTGAGTTAAGAAAAACGTGTTAAAAATAAAATTACTTTGATGTGAGATGACTAGCGGTTTATTTAAATTTAATGTATTTCGATTTGTTGTCATGAAAATTTTTGTTTTTTTTCTTGCAGGTGTTCTGGCACCTTGATGTCTTTCGTCGGAGCTATCGTCGTCTTTCGGGGCATGTGTGTATGGGTAACTCCTGCATCTTCTGTGCTCTCAAGGTGAGTGGTCGCCCTTGTGTAGAAAGGCATGTGAGTTATCCCCCGTTGGGTAGAAACTTTGCTGTTGTGTCTTCTGTACCGTTTGATGATCTCCCAGAGTTCATCCTGAACTATACTTGATAGATCAATGCTCGGTAATTTGTTTGAGAAACATAAACTAATTGAAATGTCTCTAATTATAAAACTAATAAGAATCTGTAAGGTGGAGCCCTAATGTTTTAAAACGGCGTAGTTCAAGTTAATTAAAAGCATGAATGGGCATCTATGCTTCACGTATTGCATAAAAGCCAATCTCTTAACAATATGTTTCAATGGTTAATTTTTTATATACCACATAATCCTGAGCAAATTATCTAGATTATATTACTTCATTTGTTAAATCCGGCGTGAACCAGGTGTTATTCTTAGCGTTAATTTCTTTCCTCTTTCAAATGCTGACGTGTTTATATAACTTTTAGGCTCTATTATCCCCACTGTCATAATAAGTTCAAAGTAAAGAACAACACTAGCAATGTGTTGTTAGTTTACCAGTGTTTAACACGTCCGGCCTCGCGAGTCAGATCACCATGGCAACGCCAAGTCGCTTGACAACCACTCAATAAACAGCCAGATAAATGGGACAATTTACTTTGATTGCCCGACCACCTGGGTCCACCGGCCTATACTAAAACAAAGGTGCTCCGCGAGAGTGAACGCCCCTGGCCATTGGCCACTGATTGATGGGATAATAAAAAAGAACGATCAAAGGTGAAAAGAATCGAGAGTTTCTGATTGCGTATTCAAGGGAAGCAACCGAGAGGAAGGGTGTAAAAATAAGAGCGGTGAAGGGAGATAATTTTAATATTGTTATTCCACGCCTTATTGAGTTTGTTTGCATGTGGGATTGCGATTTCATCAACGTCACTCGTTGAGTAAACGGCGGTGTGAGTGTTGTTTACACTGTGATCGAGGGGGTGTTTGTCTAGTGTGTGGGTAAATAGAAAACTCGCGGACCTTTAGCACATACAGGCGTACATGCTCATTGGCAGCGCCGGCCTCGACAAGTGTTGGGGTCAGGAGTTAGGGCCAGGTGATGGAGTGATGGTGTAGGAGTTGGGTTTTGACTGAACGCGTTGGTGGTGCTAATCGGGATTAGGGCTTACGTCCCTACGAGCGGTGAATGGGAACAACGTAGCGTCTAGTCTGGTCTAGGCACGGTGACTATGTGGCTATGGGCTGTCACACATTCTTCTATAGCCCCAGAGTTTCTTTCAGTCCACTCTTATGAGTGAACCCCCCCCCCAATCCCTCCACCACCTAGCACGTCCACCCGTCCACCCCCACCCCTCACCCGAAGAATTTAAAAAATGTATAATTTATATTATATTCATATGCGTAACCCCCCCTCCCCACCAGTAAATTTTAAATGCCCCCCCCCCCGGAGAGAAAAGAAAAATTAATGTCTTAAATAACCATCTACAGCTTGTAGCTACATCATTATATCTATTGGCATTCCCAGCTACATCATTATATCTATTGGCATTCCCATTGGCTAGTGAAAGGGTATAAAAAAGCTATTTATAAAGCGGTCAATAATTACAACACACATTCCTATCCCAGTCATTAAAATGTTTTCATGTGATGAACTAAAGTAGCTGAGATCATCTGGTTTTGTTGAGTCAGACCAGCGCTTTAACTTGTGATTGTTAGTTACATCGAATTCCCCACTTGTTTACAGCATAGGAGAGGGAAAATTTAATTTGGGGGTGGGGGCAAAATCTATCGTAGCTTATGCTTACATATTGTATTTCTTTCTTATTTTTATGAAAAAAAAGCCGTTGTTTTATTAGATGTCAGAAGTGTTAACGGCACCATGTAACTTCCATTTAGTGTGTGTGTGTCTGTTGGGGGGGGGAGGCGTAAACTGTGCTAAAACAGCGTGACTGAAGTTATTGGCGACCCCCATACAATGTAATCCGTGTTGTGACCGATGCGTTTGTTTGTCCACCTGTAGGTCATCTTCACCCAGTTCCAGTTCAGCGACCAAGCCTCCCTACATCCAGACGCCCTACGTAAGGCTTTGGCCGAGACTTTCGCCAACCAGCAGAGGTTTCAGCTGGGTCACATGGATGATGCCGCAGAATGTTTTGTAAGTCACGTGACCTGGGGTCACCAAGGTCATGTTTTGTTTTGTCTGTGGCGTGTCACAACGGTATGTTTATTTAGTATTTAGTGTCAGTATGTGTTATTTTGTTTGTTGTCGTTTTGATTGGTTCCATGACAAATGATATCATGGACAAATGATCTCAGACAAAATATCTCACAGTAAAATTTTAATAGTATGTACGATTGTTTTAGGATTGTTTTAGTTGATTTGAACTTTTTTTTTAATTGACTGTCAATATGGTTTTGTTTACTATGTTTAATATTGTTTATAGGCCTATATAATAATTGTAAGAAATGTTTGCATATAAATTTGCCATATTGTACTAAGCATTTTAAAATTAAGATTACTAATATATAATGTGAAGATAGAGAATCTTTAGTTTTAACAGTTTAGTTATTTCTGTTTGAAAGATGGAACTGAAAAAAAGCCCATAAACTCTATGATGTATTGCATTGTTGTTCAGTGTTGGCTAAAAGCAATGTCAAAACTGTAAGCCAATTAGGGCAATCTGTTGAATGTTTACGTTTGTTTGATTGACAGGAAAATATTTTGAGGCGCATCCATTTCCACATTGCAAATAACTGTAATGAAGATAACTGTACAGCCCCTCATTGTCTGCCACATCAGAAATTTTCTCTTAACATTGTAGAGAAGGTGAGTGACATTTCTCCTATATTTAAGACAGTTCATTGTAAGGCCAGATTTGTCCAGTACAATCAAACGTTTTTTTTTTTAAATATTTTAAATTTAATTGGTGAAAAAAGTTTCACATGTTGACATTGTTTCTTTAAACAATTAAACACTATTAAATAACTAATAACTTAGCTTTTGTTTGGATGATTATTAAATTTTCCTTTTAATTTGCAACTACTCTAAATCAGCACTTTTAAATTGTAAAATAATATGTGTTTAGAAAAAATTGGATGGCAAGTTATCAAACATTTCATCAGCTGTCTTGTTTGTCCCAGTATGTAGTGTGTAACAAAAAAAACTTCTGTCTACAGGTGATGTGTCCCTGTGGTGCCAGCTCTAAACCACTCAAGTTTAATGAAATGGTTCACTACATCTCAGCTAAAGCCCTTGTGTAAGTCACTCTTCACTGTATAATTTTAAACTGCTATAACTGTGACAATTTGTGATCCAAGTTTTTAGAGATGGAAAATTTCAGATGTACATTAATAATGTATAAATAATAATTTATTTTTTTAGATCACAAGCTCGAGTCATGCATGAAACTGGAGATGTACTACATCCAGATAGGTTTGGGCTACTTTTGAGGAATGCTAATGCAATGGGGGATATCAGAGATTGCCCAGTAAGTCACAACTGTTTCATACACAATTATGAATTTTTAATAATACCCACTTTTATCTTAACTTTTTTTGTAAATATGAAGTATTCCCATAATACCCACTTTTATCTTAACTTTCTTTTGTAAATATGTAGTATTCCCATTGATTCTAACCTAGATCTTTACTTTTTAGGGCTCCTGCGGTAAGAAAGTTCAGATTAGAAGAACTTTACTCAACTCACCAGATGTTGGTAAGTTGTTTTTTTAGATTATATCTACTGTAGTTTAAAATTTCCCACACCCTTATCTCTAAGTTATAAATATTTAGGCCTATATTTAATTTCTTTATGTTTATCTCTAGAACATTTAGTCAATATTTGAAAAAATAAAAAAAATTGTAAATGGTTTGTGTTTCAGTGAGTATTGGCCTAGTCTGGGACACAGACCAACCAACTGTTGACATGACAACACAGGTGGCCAGAACAATTGGCACCACCATCCTCATGCAAGATGTTTTTCATTCTGTGATGCAAGACTTGAGATTTCTATCCAAGCTGGAACTGGTGGGGCTGGTCTGCTACTACGGCAAGCACTACTCCACATTTGTTTTTCACAGCAAGCTGCAGATGTGGATTTATTTTGATGATGCAACTGTTAGAGAGGTACCTTTTTGTTTCTTGTAAAACAATGATTGTCTTGAAGAAATAAGGTGTCTTGTGAAAATGAAGTGCATTGACTAAAATGTGTTGACAAAATATATTTGTAACAGAACAGTGTTTTGACCTAAACTGTCACATGTGACTTGTGTACTGTGAGTTGAAAGACTTCTCATGGCTTGTATTATTTATAACATGATTGTTGTTGTATCTTCTCTAGATTGGACCACGCTGGGAGCAGGTGGTAGAGAAGTGCAGCAAAGGTAGATACCTGCCCCTGCTGCTCTTGTATGCTAACCCTAATGCTTCTCCAGTCTCCGTGGAGACTGCACCAAAAAAGAAAACAATGGCTCCTGGATATGGAATATCAGGTACATTTTACCCCTTGTTATGATTTGTTGCTTCTTTAATCATTAATTACTTTTTGTATCTTGTTGTTGTTTGGTTGTTTTGTTGTTATATATAATTATCTATTATTATTTTTTGTAAGACATTGTTTATTAAACATCTTAAATTTTTAAACCAGGTGGTCAAGAAGAAGACAGTGCTCTAGACAGAACCCATGAAAGCATCTCAAGCCAGCAGTCATACCAGAGCTCGCAAATGGCAAACCCTGAGCCAGTAAATGACGAATCATATTACTATAAAGCTCCGCCAACCACAGGGAAAGACTTTGGCCAGACGGGAGCCTCTGGGAAACCTTTTGACCACAGCAGGCAGCAAAGTTTCATCATGGCCATGTCAGAAACAAAACCCAGACACCCGCTCAGGTATGGGGGTCAAGCCAGCAATATGCCGGCACCCCAGGCGGAACAGGGACAGCACGAGAACTATTCCGACTACACACTGTCTACTAGTGATCAGTATAGGAGGCCGGCCATGGGAGGTTTTGAACCTGCTCATGTTGCTCTCACACCTAACGTGAAAGGGTATGGGGAAACTCAAAGAAAGGAGAGCTTCAAAAAGGGTAAAGAACCAATCAGGGCAGACTTTGTTAGGTACCAGCTGGATCCTTCCAAACCTGCAGCCATCGTGGCTCCTTGCGTCTACTCGTCACATGACCCAGGGTCAAGGACAAATCAGCCTCATGTCAAGCAGAGGTCTGTATCTCAAGGTGGGGACGAAGCTGACACACCCCAACACACTGTGGTCAAGCCGTTGCCTAGTTCACAGACGTATGACCACATTGACAGCTTGTCACACGGCCACACCCCTGTGCAGTCAGGCCTGGCTACACTCCCCAGAAAAAGGAACGACAACAAAGATGGTGTCTCTGCTCAGTTCAGTAGACAAGGCTCCATGGGAAACATTGCCTCGTTCTATGACCAGAAGCCACCAGTCCACCCCAGCCATGCTGAACAAAACACCGCCCAGCACAAGATGGACCAGGGTCAAAAAGTGAAGAAAGGGAAAAAAGAAATGAAGAAAGTAGACAAAAAGAAACTAAACGAGCTGAACAAGCTACCGCCTACGTCTACATTAGAGAGAAGACCAGAGGAGTACCAGGATGAGAAGGTTGTGTACATCGACCGCAGGATGGTAGAAACCATCCTCAAGCACCAGGGCTTGCAGCGGCAACCATCCACACACAGCACCAACAGCGCATCAAGCATAGAGTCTGACAGCATTATGGGAAGACTGCTGGGGTGTAAAGGGAGCGAGGGTAGTATCAACACCGACGCATCTTTTGATAACGTCTCTATCGGCTCGCACAAGGACTCTGGTTATGGCAGCAGTGACCGCAACAGTTCCAGTTCTACAGGAAGTGGCACCATTGACCCCTACACGCAGTACTTCATTAGCAAGAGCATGGTTGTACCTAGGAACCTAAATTCTCAGGTAATTAATTGTTTTAAAATTAAATAAATTTAAATAAGTGGAAAAGTTAAACCTTATGACCATTTTAAAAAAATGTAATTGTAATTGATATTATAAGTACTGTCAACGAAATGTAATTAATTTTTTAGTTCCTGCACCATCAAACCGGGAATGACGTTGGTCCAGTCAACCCTCCACTGGACACAAGAAACACAGCACCATGGGAAGAGCCAGTCAAAAACTTAAGTGGGATGTCTAAAGAGGAATTAAACAGACACTTGTATGAGACCTTGACCCAGAGAAAGGTAATGAAAAACATGAACCTACCTTAATTTGTTTCAATTATTAATCAAACAATAAGAATTTTAAAAAATTTCTTAGATAAATTGTTAAAAAAAAAAGACTGAACTGATCAATGTGGGCTAATGGAATTTTCAGGTGATGCACCCCATCAAAGAAAGCAGTCAAGAAGACATCTTGAAGATATTGCCTAAAGAGCAAAGCATAATGAACAACAGGAACCCATCGCCTCCTATGGATCAACCCATGACTCAAGGGAGGCCACCACCTATCCCACCAAAAAGTAAAACTCCAGATTTTTTAAAATATTAAAAATTTAATTTATACAAAACAAATAAAAATTAGTATACAATAATAAAAGCACTTTTACAAATTTAAAAAGAAAAAGGACTTCATTAAAGAAGATGAATTGTTTTTGGTTTTTAGAATTATTGTAATCAATGGAGACAATAGCCTCAGAATATATATTCTTAACATACTCATTCTTTTATCTTGTTTTAGATTTTGCAGCTTTTCAAGTTTCAAAATCAGCCCATCAAAGGGAACCATCAATTGAAAGTCTGGACATTCAAGGTAAAGAAAAACAAAAATTGAAAACCTACTGCTTATGTCTTAGTTTTACCCCAACTGGTGTGTGGTGACCACTGCATTGCATGGTGCCAATGTATTGTTTTCTTTCTCTACAGAAGTAAAGAACGACTACTTCATATCCATGTGTGAGAAAGCGGATGACCTGATGGACAGGTGTATACTAGCAGAGACACAAGATGACCTCTCTGCTGCTCTGTGTTTTTGTGACAGTGCTCTAGGTAATTTTATACCTGCTTCATTCACTGACATTTTACCATTGCTTTACAATATGTTAGATTTTTTTTTCATTAACATAGTTTAGCTCATTACACACACTATAATAAAAAATGTTAATTTAAATTTTAAAAAGTACCCCCTTGTTAAGAGAGTGTTTTTACCCCTTTGTAAAAAGAGTGCTTTTGATTTCAGGCTGCTTGAAGGAAGCCATGAACCAAACAGACATTTCCTCTAAAGCTCTTGTGTATGCACAAAAAAAGCACAACTCTTGCTTGCTTAAATCTCGGAGTCTGTTTAAACGTACATCCGGCTATGGTTCTTCTGACAGTAGTACGGGAAAACGGTAATTACATTGTTGAAAGATTATTGTAGTCTTATTAAAAATTAATCACATTGAAGGTTTTTGTAGTTTTATTAACTAAATTGTTTGGAGGGCATTATAGTCTTATTCATTACATTGAAGATTTTTGCAGTTTTATTAATTATATTGTTTGAAGTACTCTTAGTAATTCTGTTTAATATTAGGCCTATAGTAATAACATTATTTGTCAAGAAGACAAATTAATCACTGAAAATAGTTTTAAACCTACTCTATAAGTTTTTATTTTTCCTATTTCTAACAGAGGGAGCATCACCAGTACAGATTCAGAGAACAGTGACAAGGGTGTGAGAAGAACTGGTTTAAAAGATCATGCATCGGCCCCTGGAAAAGGGGCCAGCAGGATGGGGCCACAAATGAGAAACGTCCAGCAGGCCAGCCAGCGTGATCCATCCAGGAAGTCTCCACTGCCCATGACACACCACGACCCCACAGTCAACTCTACATCATCTTCATCTGCTGCACCTTCTAGTCAGCCATCTTTGTCATCTCAAGGCAATCAATCATCTCAGAGTACTGTCCCCTTAAGACTGAACACAGAGAGATCAGAGACTGAAACAGTCGGCTCTCAAAACTTTGTCAGACCATCCACCACGGCCCCACCTCCACAGACTCTCATGAGGTCTCAGACAGAGAACTTGCCGCTCGATTCTTACAGAACATTGCCCAGAAACAGGGCGTTCCGCAGGACTTCTGACCCCACCTCTAACTCTGAGGTGTATCAAATGTACTTGAACAAACAGAAAAACATTCAAAGCCAAAATGATGCAGACAATCTCGGCACTCAGAATGGGCTAGACAACAACAAACAGTTCTACGGCAGTAATGAGGTGAGAGGTTCCGAACCTGAGCCTAAGTTCTACTTGCCTCAGAGAGCTAACAGTGACCTGGCAGGCAACCGTGGCAGCACCAGCAGCGCCAGTAGCATCAGCAGCAGCGTCTCCTCCTCCCACAACCAGCAGAGCGATGAGGTCAGGGGCTACCCCACACCTGTCAATCAAACGACTCCCTCCAACCCCCCAACATTGACTCCCTCTAGTGTTCAGCAACTGGCCAGTGACAACAAACCACCTGCAGCCAGGCCATACCCATCTTCACAGACCAATCCCAGATCACAATCATCTCTGTTGGTTAAATCCAGCTCATCGCAGTCATTCAACCAGGCAGCACAGCAAAATCTAGCACATTCTAGAAGCTGGAATGAAATCCCAGACCATCTGTCTCACAATAACTTACCTTCTAGTCAAAGACATCCAACCATCGCTCCCAGCATCAATCAGAATAGAAAAACGCATGGCGGTCCACCACCCCCTCCCCCAGCCAGAACAACATCCAACTGGGGAGGTCGACACGTGCCCCAGGAAACCAGACTCTACAGTCACCAAGAAGAAGTTCATCCAGACGAATCTCATGGCAGCCCAGTGGCCAGCCAAGCTAGAGCTGCCCCGTCTCACTACCTGCCCAGACAGCAGGTGCCACAGCTCAAGCATGCGACTAGCAGTACAGGAATCAACTGTATAGCTGGGGCCCCTCGTCCACTAGAAAGATATGCCTCACAGCCAGACTGTCAGAACATTGCTGAGTCTGCATCTACTAGCAACAGACCAGGTAACTTTTTTTTACCTAAGTCAATCATTTATTCGTTTTATTTGTTTTTTCATATCAAATAAATCAAAATTTATAAATAAGGATAGCGATGCCGGTTATTTTTAATATAAAATGTTACTGGAGCCAAATTTTTAATTTCTTTTTTTCTTTCAATATAGAAATCTTGTCTTATGCAACAAGCCAGCCAGTGAATCGCAGCAATATTGACACAGTGAGTATTCATGCATTTAGTTAGTTATTAGGGATTATTATTTACATTATTCTGACATGTCTGCAGTTGAATTTTCGCTCCATAGAGATGGGTCAAGAAAATAAAATGTGATGTATTGTGTATATTTCATAGTCCCAAGGCATAATGTTACTGACAAGTTAAATTTATTTGTTGTTTTTTTTTCTGTTTTATATAGAGATCCCAACAAGGGGCAAGGGACCACAAGAACCCTCAGGAGTTAGAGCTAAATAAATCAGAAATCCCTGTACAGGCAAGTGTTTGGGCTTTGGCCTCACAGTTTGATAAGCCAATGGAAAAACCTGCCATCAAACCTAAGCCAAGCAACTTTATCTTGAGAAGTCGCAGCAAGTCTGAATCTGGCAGCAAAAAGCCCAAATCAGTCTTGAAGAGCAAGAAAAACAAGTCAAAAACACCAAGGAAATCTGTGACTTTTGCAGACAACATCTCCAGTTTAGCAGCAGGATACGAATCTGCTGCGGAACTGACTACCTTCTCCTCTAGAGCTTTTGAGAATGACAGGGCATATTTTAGTGAAGACGAGGACTACGCTGTTAGTAAATCTGACAATGAGCTGGATGATGTGGAAGACAGCAGCAACAGCGATGACACTCCTTTACCCAGAGAGGAACTGGCTTGCCAGCTTTGTCGTAAACGCGAGATAGAAACAGGCAAAGGTTTTTGTTCAAAGTGTGCGTTTTATATGAGTCGATTGGTCAAATAAAGTAAGTCAGCGAACAGGAGATTTGTTAAGATGATGAAATGTATTGCACTTGAATATTGTAAGTGCAATTGTTGTGACCATTATTTAATTAGGTGAATGAAATTGTTGGGTGAGAAATACTAATAAAATTATATTAGAATGTCTGTGATAGATAAAACAAACACGGGATCAAGAAGGGGGTCCATAGAGTTGGTATGTATGTTCATTGGTTTGTTTGTAAATATGTCTATAGTTAATGTTTCTCTAGCTTCATTCATGACATTCCATTCTTGAAGTTTACTTCTCAGCCTTGAAACAAGTTTTGTATATGTTCCTATATTGCTATTTAGATAAAGTTTACCATATTGGTTTATGTATATACTACATAAATATTCATATATTTATATATTGTATTAAGAATATGCAAATTTCCATTATACATTCCATGTATGTACATATACATATGTACATCATTATTTCTACTTTTGTAATGTCATAAGACATGTAAACATAAAGAAAAAATTGTTATGGCAATTCTGTACTTTTTAAAAATTATTTCGTATAAAAATGGAACTGATAACTCTACTGCTTCATAAATATAAAAGGAGTAACATCATATTACATTTAAATATTTGAGGATAAAATTAAAGAATGTTATATTAATTTCAAAAAACAATTTATAGCTGGTTTATAAAAGTAAAAATGTGTCTACTCTTATCATCTGATGCCACAGATATTATGTTTCAATCTATTTTTTTAATGTCTCTTTAGTGCAATGTGATTAGATCTGATGTTTTGTGAGCTATTTTGGATCACTAAACCACTGTTGTAGTACAGTATCATTGTTACTATCTAAATGTTAGCTCATTGATTTACAAGTGATTATTGGATGATAACAAACATGTGATGTCTTTTGAGTACATCTGTGTGACCATATCTTCAATGAAACTAACTTTTGAGAACATCCATTAGACCATATTTTTGATAACATCTATGAAACCAGTTTTTGAAAACATCCATGGGACCATATCTTTGATAACAAATAATGAGGGCTATGCGTCAAGATGTGCCTTAACGTTACAAACATTCCCTTCTATAAAGTTTAAGCTCTCTTGATAGACACAGATGTAAATATTTTTGAGGACATCGACTATTCCTCCTCTGGGCTGTTTTTTTTATAGTGGTATTGCATTATAATTATGGTAGTTAGTTTCATGTCATTTGTGCAGAAGGGGAAGGATTATGAATTGTTTCAGCGACAGAAGCACATTATAAATATTTTAATTTTTTTTGTTTGTTTTTTAATGTCAATTGTACAAAACAGATATTAAACTTTGTTATAGTTCTTGCTTTTATTTTATTTTATCAAGCCTACTGGCTAGTAGAAAGCAAGTATTAAGAAAATCTAAGACCTCTATGGGTTAAAGGCTATATCAGAACAGAATCATCTAGCAAGCTTGACCAATAGATGTAAAGTCAATTGAACTGTTGAACTAGTCTGATTGATACTCTGTTGTACACACTGTATAAACTGTACAGTTATTAAGGTATTTCTAAGAATAAAAATCTTTTACCAAAAAAGACAAGTAAAAAAACAGCTGATAAAAAGAAAGAACAATCATGGTTGATATTGTAATTATGTACAGTTTAATTCATATTGAAGACATAGGTATTCTCCCACTTGCAACATCTAATATGTCACTACCCAAAAGTCTAGGTCAATAACAGAAAAAAACTTTTACAGATTTTTTTTTCTGTTAGAACAAACAAATCATTTATTGATCTTGAGTTAGATGTTTACTTCACAAACTTATTTCTTTTTATTGAGCTTATCATCTAGTTTTTTGAATTCATTCTCTGAAACTTCATCTACTTCATCTGTGACCTGTTGGATAAAACATTAGATACATAAATGGTGAGGTCAAACAACAGTACAACTGTTCTATGTCCTTACATAGCAAATGACCAATAGAAAAAAGCCCAACATCCAAATGTGACAGTAAATAGAAAATCAAAGTACCTGCTCTACGGCTTGAACTTCAGGGATATAAAACTGCAACATATTCTGGACACCATGTTTTAATGTCACAATGGAACTGGGACAGCTGCTACAGGAGCCTTGCATCTTTAGCTTTACCACTCCTTTCTCAAAACCCTGGACACAAAAGTCACACATATTTTTAGCTAAACCATGCCTTTCTCAAAACCCTTAACACAAAAGTTATACATATCTTTAGCTGGTTTGCAATAGTTATAAACAGAACCTCAAATGAAAACGAGCTGGTATGCAATTGTTATAAGCAGAAAATTGTTCTCAAACTTAAAAATTATAGCCTGAAGTGTGTTTAATAGTAAAAGTTCAATGCTCATCACTGAAAGACACAAAATGAATTGGCTTCACTACTTCATTATTACTAAAATATGTTTTTATGAAGAGCAAGAGGAGTTTAACTGATAAGGTTTGGGATGCCTGTAGATAGTAAGATTTGAATATGGCATAGCTATTTAGATTAATCTTAGATTAATATGATAAACACATGCCATAGATTTTAGAGTTTAATTAACCCTTTAGAACATTACACAGAAAATTTACCAGAAAGAGGCACTCAGTAAAACGTATTAACTAACATAATCCTTGAAACAATCCTTCTTGCCATTAACACACAAAAGCACATCACAGAAACTACATTGAATAAGGGTTAACTGGATGTTTCAATAACTTATTATAGCACAGTTCACACCTTCCTACTTTTGCACTAAACATAGGCCAATGTTCTATGCTGATTTTCTTGCTGCCACAGCAGTTACCTTTCCTCCTTTTTTTGTGGGGTAGCAACTGTTGTTGGACTGCCCCATTTTTTGCTAAGTAGCTTTCAAAAGTCTAGCAGTGACATCTCTGAGTTAACATAAATATGATTATACACAATAATGCACTAAATGAATTAACCCCAGCATTTACCATATATACAATATCTCCTCCATCTTCCTGTACAGTTGGTCGAATCCTTGTATCAAGTAGCTCTTTGATCAAAGCTACAGTTTCATCATCATCTTCTGTGATTTCTAGCAAAAACAAATTTTTAAATTTGCAGCTATCACATATTATACTTTTTGCATTTTACAAAAGCTGTTTGAATTACTACACATTGTACTTATTTTTTTATGCCATCTTAAGTTTGACAATGTTTACCTGTAGCACCTAATGGTTTCTCATCAGTTAAGACTGGTAGACCACTTGCAAAAAAATCCATAATAACTGCAAATATTTCTGGCTTCAGAACAGCCCAGTCTATATCATCATCTGCCTAGATTACAAATAAGAACAATAACTAGAGATGCTACATGTCATGCTAACAGATGTACAAAGTACGTCAGCGATTCAAGGCTTACTTTAGTTATTGTCACTGCATCCTTTGACAAGAAAACACCTTTCACTCCTTCAATGCGAAACAACATCCTAGATAATACAAGAAATATTTTTAAATGAACTAAAATAGCTTCAGCTGTAAGTATAAGAACAAAAACAGCAAGTATAAAATAAGAAATTCAAATATGAAAATGAAATAGTGTGACATATTTATAAATTAAGGAAAGAAAACTAAAGATTATTTTTATTTACTTGGCAAGTGGAGAGCTTTGTGCAGATTTAGGATGTGGAAAGTCAAATGTGCCAGAGTCCAACACCTTTTCTCCAGGCATAAACTTCAGACTGTTAGGATTTGGTGTATCTAATGTCTGGATAAACATGCTGCGGGCTAGAAGTAGATACATTTCAAAGTGAAATTAGCTATTGAAGTTCAAAACAGACGTAACAAAAATAGCAATGCTTAATTACAATGAACTAGCCCTCACTCTGACTAAATTGATTCAAAAATAATTATTTATTAAAACAATAAATTGACAAAGCTAAAAACAGCCTAAATTAAAATTATAAGTGAGCTATAAAGATATAATACAGTATAATAAATACCTGCATTTAAAAAACTGGGTTTTATTTGTCTTCTCAGAATAACATCCTGGGATGTGCCTGAGGTTATCTTTTGTGTCCATAAGCAGCGATGAAAACATTTTGAACTGACAGCTTCAGTTACCAAGAAGTGTGGTTGGGTTGATGATGAAATTAATTGCCTTTATTGACAAAAAAAGGTTCAAGGTATCAAAATTTAGGTAGGCCTAGGCCTAATTTAGTAATTACTAATTAATTTTAAAAAATTATTAAATTAAAATATGTGATGGCCACTGCTAAAATAAAATAACTAACTATTAACTAACAAACTAGATCTAGATCTAGATCTAGTACTACTAGCCAAAGGTAGGGCCTGTTGTTAGAGTACAATAACAGTCACTGAGTCACTCTGACAATGAGTGCAAGTGATAGTGAGTGCAAGGACAGGGCAACCAGTGTTTCTTCCAGACTTTTTTCTCCGGGGGGGCACTAGAAATCTTCGGGGGGGCGGTAAACTTTCTTCGGGGGGGCGGACACTGTTAAAAGTATATATTTTCTATATAAATTATATAAATTTCATTTCGTTCGGGGGGGCGGTAAAAATTTTTCGGGGGGGCTTCGCCCCCCCGAAGAGATGCCTGGAAGAAACTCTGAGGGCAACTACTGTACTGTCACACACAAGTGAGTTAGCTCAAGGCTCAAATAGTAATACTATTTGAAGTATTTGAGTCAAATAGTTGTGAGACGAGAGTGATGAAGTCTAAATTTTAGAACATGTGAAAGCTACGTTTAAATATATTGTAATTGAATAAGTTTAGTTACAAATATCGTTAAGCTTAGGAATCAAATATTTATAGAGTAGATAGATCTAGATCTATATTAGAAAGACGATGAGGGGGTAAGAAGTTGATACATTACCTAAATATTGAAGGTTTTCTTCTACAAATCACAGTGAGGGTCGCCATATTGTAGTAACGCAGTATTATGACCTTTCCATAAATAACAAAAACAGCCTAAATTATTTTAAAGAATAAAAACATATTTCTAAAAAAAAAGTAAGATTCAAACAATTATATAGATCTAGATCTAGATCTAGAAATCTAGATCTATTACCCTTTTAATAATTTTAAAAATTATTGTATTAATTTTTAATAAAAAAAATTATAGGCCCTAACATAAAAGTAAAACAAATTGTTTTGTCCGAAGCTACACTGCGTCCCTTAGAGATACACTTCCATTTGATTATGAGTAAAGTTTGTTTTTGTTTTTTTACAGATTTTACACTATACTTTTTATTTTATTTAATATTTACAGTTTTATCACCGTCATTATGTCACCACGATTTTAAATTACTCAGAACTTTTAAAGCATTTTTCAAGTTTCAATGATATTTTTAAAATAACCATTTGGTAGGTCAAAGTTAAGTAATCATATCAGATATGATATCTGATCATGTAGTAAGGTAGTAGTACAGTAAGTACTAAGTAGTTAAGTAGACTAGATACTAGATCTACTCACTACTGGATTAGAGTTAGACTAGATACTACTACTAGTACTACTTACTGCTATCATACTACTGTCTATAATTATAATAATTTATATTTTATAATCTACGAGCCGACCCGCGGTGTATCATACACCGCTATTTAGTTTTTTCTACTTTTCAGTAATTCATAAGTTGTGAATTCGACAGTACCAATGCTGCCACTGAAAATATTTGCTTTAAAACATTTAAAACACTAAACCCCCCCCCCCCCCCCCGTGAAAGCAGCTTCCTCTTAGTTACCTCCTCTAAGTTTAAAATAGTTTCAAACTTAATTATCTGCCCCTAATAGCCGTCACCAAACCCGGTCTCTGATTGTAAAATGTAAACAGCATGAACTACAACTCACCTGGCCATGTGAGGGGGGTGGGGGTCGGGGGGGGTGGTAGCGATAGAGAGGGGACTGCAAGTCGCGCGCTTGCAGCTTGTTTTCTAACGGCTCCCAGAAGAGAATTATATATATAGATTACTATTAGGATAGATAGTTAATTAATTTAATAGTATAGTTAAGTTGGTAATAATAATGTTGATGAATGAATATGTCTCTGATTCAAAATCAAAGTGATGAATAATGATGGCAATGATAATATTATTAAAAATTAGCCTATAATTTAATAATTATTAATTAAGCTATATAGGCTAGTATAGATCCAATTAATAAATAAATAATTTTACTATTGTCAGATTTATTATTGTAATTTATCATATCTCTGTTAGTTAGATGTAGGTAAACTATAATATAATAAATGAATATTCTGAATATTTGTATTTCTGTATTTGTAATGTATTGTTAGTTTGTTATGTTACTGGGCCTAATATAAGGCTAATATAGTAACTTACTAAGTAGATCAAGTCAACAATGAATAATGGAATAGGCAACATCACATATAATTTGAATTGAGCATCCCACAACAAAATGTTGCAATAGTTATACTTGTATAATTTTTTTGTACAGTATTTTAAATATTTTCTACACTTAAGGGAATCACTTATCCCAAGACTAAGAGGCCTACTAGTCCACACCACCCAGTTATCAAAACTTCAAAATACAGCCCAGTATTCCAATGGGAATTAGATTGGTAATCTTTTTTTAATGAAATTAAAATGGGAATCTTTTTTGGTAATTTTTTTTATCGCCATCAGAAAGTAACAAGCAAGTAAAAAATGCCTTCAAATGCCAAAGTATTCCTTCACTATGGACCTTATGAAGCTGCTGGTACTGTAGAATACAGACAGTCTAGGTTACAAGGTCTAAAAAGTAAGAATAAAAACACATTTAAAAAGCAATTTTCTATCAGATCAATTGTTATAAATAATATTGAACTGTCATAATGTCCCAAAGAGTACTTTCTAAATTGCTTATTTCCTACTTTACAGCTCTTTTAACTCGTGCTGGCCACTCAGTAGAGCTCAGACCTTTTAAAGACTGGAATGTTGTAGAGTTATGGGTCAATGGTGAAAAGGTGTTTTCTTGCGACATTCGAAAACTGGACTATGGTAATTGAAACCAGTAATGTTTTATATAAAGTTTAAAAGAATATTCAATATTTACTGGTTAGAAGTTTTTTAAAACAATACTATCCAGAATTTACTGTGAGGCTATTTTTAATGATTGCACTAATTTTTAATAAAGGTATAATGAAGAGCAGTAAATTATTGTACTATTTCTTAAAATAATTAAATTTTTAGTCTAGGTTGAATAAGTAAAAAAAAAAAAAAAGTAAAGAACCCTTATGAACCTTACTGTCCATGGGCAGGTGAGGTAGAGCTCAACAGTTTTAGTGACCTCGAATAAGCCAATTTACCTTTATTTGACCTAATCTGAGCTGGGTGGACTCAGTAACGTTGTACAGACTTAATCCGAACTCGAGAATTTCAGGTTAGCATTAGAAAGTCTTACCATTTTGGCGATAATTTTTTAAGCTTTTTAATTAACTTTAAATATTATTCAGTAGTTTGCTATATCTTTGCATGTTTTAGGTGGAGATGGGGACCTGGATCCTTTGTGTCATGAAGCATGTCGAGCGGTAGGGAAAGCATTTTAATTTTATACAGAAGTTCATGGATTTTATATTTTGTTACTCTATTACTATTTGTAACCATTTTGTATTTATTATTGTTATTTCATTAAGTTTCATTTACATTGCAAACATTAGAATATCTAAGTTTCTAAAATGTTTAGAATAGTGCATTCAAATATATAGCAATACTTGAATTAATTACAAAAGATACCCACTACCTGTACATTTATTAAATTTATAAAAATAATATAGATAAATTTCAAATTATGTAATAGTCTGTTAATGGTGAATATTTGAACATTTGGAAATATTGTAAGGTGATCAGTTTAGCAGTCAGTTTAAAAGCATCCTTAAAACATTTTATTGTAATATCAAATTTTTTTTTGGTCTATTAATTGGAGATTTGTTTTAATTAATAACTAAAATTTTATTTATTAATTAAACTTGTTTTTGTATTATATTTGAACAAGTTCTTGAAATAAAGTATGTTAAATTGGTAACACATGGCTGTTTCTGTTTAAAAAAAAATAGTAAAATTAATTTGTCAATATTTTTCATATTTTTTTTTACTAATAGTTGCTTTTATCCCCAGCTCATTTTATAGGAGCAAGAGTAAAGAAAAGGGGAGGGGAAGAAAAAATTTGGTCTATAACTAATACAGCATTAATTGACTAACAAATAACTTAGCAAAAGTAAAAAAAAAAAAAATAACCCATCAAGGAGAAAAAGAAATAGATAATTTAAATTAATAATAACAAGAACAGTTAGACATTGTATTTCAACTCAAACCACATAATTACAAATTACATTGAATATACCAACTTTAGCACAATCAACAGAACTGCTGCAGGTTAAGTTTTCTGTACTTACTTTTTTATTTCAATGAGACATCATTTACTAAAAATGTACATTATTAAAAATCAAATTTTAACTAACAATAAAAATACTTGTAATCTTATAGCCACTGCATTAAGACCCATATAAGTTTGTGTACATTTTGTCAGTTTGGAAGTTTAAAAAAATAATTGTTAAAACTAATTATGACTATGCATATTCCTTTGTTTGCAGCTGTCCGGTCTCACAATGCATGACTAGAAAACTGGCAGAAGGTGCCAAAATCATGTTCTGTAAATAAAAGTGTTTCTATGCAACTCTTCCTGTCATGTTTTAATTAATGTTCCTACAAAATACATTTTAAATTTCATGAGAATGTTTCAAAGTCAGTATGCAAGTCAATTTAGCATTATTTTAGATTTAATCCAACTCCTAATGTAAAAAAAAAAATTAACGATTATAATTAATTATTTAAATGCATAAATAATGTACACAAATGTAAGCACATTAACCATTCTGTGGTATTAGTTTCATGTAGTAAGGAACTGTGATACTTTTACTCTTACTCATTTTAATTCTAAATCTAAACTTTTTTAAGTGCCTTGAAATGAGCAAAAGTGCATACACAAAAAATCAAAGTAATCTTGCATTTATCAACTTAACATTAAAAAGGGACTTCACTGCACACTATTCAGACACTCAAATCAACTTTAACCTGATTATTCTTCACATCCACTCATGTATTGGATTTAGAAGCCCTTGCAGGTTCATCATTGGTCATCCTAGTCTATGTAGCTACAACTTTGGTTATTTAGGCATTTCATGCACCAAGCTAATTATGAGCTAGCGGTCAGCTCAAGTACATCAGTAATTCATTTATGTTTCATAACAATCGGCAATGTAAAAAAATAAGATAAACCCCAACATAATTATATTCCACACAAAAATAGTCCATCCAAACTGCTTGATTTTATTCTTCCATTATGCTACCAATAAGAATTGGCATTTCCTCTAGGGTGTGATCTGCCCCTCCTCATTCCTCTTGTGTCTTGTGGGTATGTTTGTGGAGGGGGTTGGATGGGACCACCCACAAACCCTGGCAGCATGGGTCTTCTATTTCTTACTAGTGGTGGTGCTGGAAAATGGAAGTCCGGCATTTCTGGTGGTACAAAGTTCTCACTGCTGTAACCTCCACCAGCATAGCCAATGTCTTCATTCAACCAATCTCTAAGTGCAAAAAAAAATAAAAAGAAAATGCTTTTATAAGTTGTTTTTTTTACCAACAGACGTATGTATATAATAAAACATAAATTTAAAAAATTTATAACGATAAGCATAGCCAATGTCTTCATTCAACCAATCTCTAAGTGTAAAAAAATAAATAAAAAGAAAATGCTTTTATAAGTTGTTTTTTTTTACCAACAGACGTATGTATATAATAAAACATAAATTTAAAAAATTTATAACGATAAGCTTTTAAGCGAACAATGCTGTTATTAAAGAAATCAAGTTTTTTTTTCAGTGCATTTAATAGCTTTTTATTTTTTTATATTTGTTTTTTTTTTCTTCTCCTATTTAGTAGTTTGTCCTAATTGAAATTGACACCACTAAAAATATTTGCTTTAAACCCCATTAGTAGCTCGTTAGAGATTAATTCTGTTATCTGCCCTTTTATTTTTGAATTTAGTAATCTTTACATTAATTATTAATGTATTGAATTAAAAATTAGATATTCTTGCATTGTCATCAGAGACAAATGTGTGAAGAAATCACTGCATTAGAAGTGAGTCAAAACTGACTTACAAAATTTGCCACAAAACAGACACTGTGAGACAAAAAAGCTTATAAAAAGACAATATTTTTTTATATAACGGCAATAAGTACTATTTTTAAAAACATTTCTGTAATCCAAGATCAATTGATTGCAATGGCAAGAAAATTTTATTTCAAGTTATTCTAGATTTCTAGTCCCAAATGGCACACTTAATCAGCAGCTTACCTAGTGTCATAAACATTTATATTTCCATCATAAAATGCAGCTTCATGGCTTGTGTGTTGTAACATGGCTATTTTGGCCTCCAAAGCTTGAGTGCTCCTTTCTAACTCATTTTGTAAAAATGCTATTTCTTGCTTAAAGGAGTCTCCAACAGAATTAGGCACTGGCCCTCTAAAAAAATGAAAACTTAACTTTAGAGATCATTTAAGAGTTATTAAAATGATTAACAGAAAAATTATAGATTTTAGATTCTAGTAACATATAATTCACACTGAGGATTTAGAGATTAAAAGTCTGAGAATTCAAGTATAAGTCGGAGCTGTTTGTGTAATTTTTGAGATTTCATTAGGGTTTGATAAAACTTGGATAAAAAGTGGTAGAGAATTAAAATTCTTCAATAGTCATGTTATGTTCACATTTCACTACTCTTTGTAGAATGTCTTGAGTTGCAGTGTCAAGAAAAGATCAAGCAGGATTTCTTAATGTGACCTATATATACTTGTATCCCCCAACTTACCTGGCCCCTAATAAGTGTCCTGGCATTGGATACATCCCACTGTGATGTGCTGCCAGCGCAAAATTATTTCTCCTCATTTTCTCATTCATTTTCTGCCTCCCTGTCATGGGTACTGGCATACCAGGCCCTGGTTTCTAAGTTAAAAATGTGGCAGAAGTTATATTTTGGTTGAAGTATAATTGATGTGTTTTGATATCTGTTTAAAAAAATTCAACAGAAATAATTTGGCCTATACATTTTTATAAATTATTTTTAAAATATTTTCCAGCAGATTTTTAAAATCATTTTTCTGAACAGACATAAACAACTTGATCAATAGATCGGTTCTAAATATAACACTAAACTCACTGATAACAGCAAAAAGAAAGGGGCAGTTTTATCAGCATTGTGTTGCAATGCAAACTAACCCCCACATACTCTCATAATACTGTTACACATACGGTAGCTAGTAAATAATTTTGACTAGGAACATACAGTGAAGGACGATGTAGCAGGTCTTTGTGGAGGTAATGTTCTCCCATTGCCCTGACCTCTGTTCTCATGCATAGTGTAACTTCCTCTTTGTCCGGCATGATTTGGTGTTGGTAAAATACTTACTCTATCCCTTGCACCTTGTGTAGTTGTCACTGTCTCCTTTTCTGGCATCTTGTTTGCACCTGCATCTGAAACAACAAAAAACAGGGTGATAATATGAACAGAGATATAAGCACCAGCCTAAAAATAAATGTTGATATTTTTTTTTTAAAAGGGGAGGGGAGAGATGGCTTGTGACATTATATGTTATTTATTTAATAACACCCTTGCACTTAAGTAAAAATGCATTCAAATATGTCAAACCTAAGACTAAGTTTTTATTTAAAAATCTAGATGTAATTTACAAACTAAGTGAACCATGATCAAATTAAATATACTGAAACTGCCTGGATACCACTACACTCGCATGGCCACTTGTTGTAGACCTTCCCATTTGTGTGACCATGGGATGCAGTTGGCAAGGAGTTTGGGTTATGGCATAAGTGTTGGTTCAGTTCAGTATAAGTGATGTAATGAAATGAGAACTGTGCGAGTCATAATATTTTTAGGAATTATGACAAGAAATCTAGAAAATAAACTTATCATAAGTGAAAGGTGGTATAACTGAAAATAAAATGGATTCAATAATTTTTATAAAATGGAAATTAAAATTCACATGGCTTAGTACAATAAGGTTTTTTTTAATAACAATGACTGTCAAAGTATTACCATCACAAAAATTAAACAAAGCTAACAACAATACTTTAAAAATAAACTTATTTTTTTGGTCAAAATAATGTTCGTACTCATTGTTTCCTTGTCTTTGGCTTCAATACAAATATTTTTCCCATCTATGAGGACACTTTTGTGGGCAAGAACAAATGCTCTACAGCTTCCCCTTCGTAGACAATCAAAGTCAAGAGTTCTGTAAAGATAAAATAATAGTCTCAGTGTTTAATTCTTTTGAAAGTTTGAAGTGTTTGATGTAATTTTTTGCAAGGATTCAAAACTTATCTAAAAATGCATTTTATTCTATCAAAGATCTGTCTGATAGAATAAGCAATGCATGTTTAGTCTTATCGTACAATAACCCGGCTGAGTTCTGATGCAAATTGAATCTTCAGCTTTATTATTTTATTCTAATCATTTTTAGTATTATATTCAATTTTTTTAGCTAGTTAAAAGTAGTGAAGAAAAAGCCTCCACCACTCAAAGATTCAAATTCTTACCCATTGAAATCTTTGATTTCATTTAGTTTTTGTTGTAACTTCCCTTCCTTTTCTATAAGATATTCCCTCACATTGGTCCCACCAATCACAGCATACGCTCGACTGAAAACCACATCCAAAAATTCCCGAGAAATAGTTCCCGGGAGGTTGGATACTTTTGCAGAATGATTGATTAACTCTCCTGAAATGCCCCCCAAACAAGTTTGTATTTGTAATGGTGAAAGCAAAGCTCAGTTTTGTCAAGACAAAAACAGTGCCAGATTTTACTTGTAGCAAACTACTGTATGTTTATGTGTAGCCATACAGTAGCAAAAATGCATGAAATTTATTCTAATATTTGGTAGCTATTTTCAAATCATTGTATTTCCTTAAACTTCAAAGAATAATTTCTTAAAAGACTGTGCTATGTCTATGTATGTATAAAAACAAACACAAATATGTGCCCAACATAGGTTGGACAAGGATAACCTAAAAAATGTACATCCATTAGTCTCAGGCCAACTTCAGAAATGTGATAGTACCTTTGGGTTTATCCCTGAAGCGAGCTTTGCTAGCTAAGTATGTATCCAGCTCCAAGTGAGCTAAAGTAAATATTGAAAAAAAAAGAAAATTGGAAAATGATTATAGATAATTGCTTGAGCAATATAATGAATAGAATATATCGATGGCCTTGGTCGCAAACCATGTATCTCAGAAAATGTAAATTTTACAGGGGAAACCAAAAACTGATTAGTTCATTCTTGATTGCTCTAATTAAAAATTATTTTAGCTATATGTGCAAAGAAACTCTACCGGCTATACTGTAGCATTTTAAAATGAGTTTTGTTAATATTTGCAAAGTTGTAGTAGGTTTAAAAAGATAGTCAGTTTGCTCTGTGGAGAGAGGCTGGTCTGTGTACGGTAAGACTAATCTGTGGAAAGAGGCTGATATCTTGTAATGTATGACTTATCAGTTGAGAGAGGCTGTTCTCTTGTATGATAAACTGGTCAGTTGAGAGAGGCTGATCTTTTGTGTGATAAGACTGGTCAGTCGTAAAGACTGGTCAGTTGAGAGAGGCTGGTCAGTTGTATGATAAGACTGGTATGTTGAGAGGCTGGTCAGTTGTATGGTAAGAGTGGTCTGTTGAGAGAGGCTGGTCTGCTGTATGGTAAGACGGGTCTGTTGAGAGAGTCTGGTCTGTTGAGAGAGTCTGGTCTGTTGAGAGAGGCTAGTGCCTTAAAAAATAAGTGATCTTTTGTTGGTAAATCCGACTAGAATATTTTTGTGACTACAGAAACAATATAATTGTGTTGCTTAACAGCTTGAGCTAGAAATCTTCTTCTTCTTCTTCTTCGTTCTTAATTTTTGAATATGGTGGAGGATTCAGACAACAAGTCCAACTTCGTGGACAAACCGGACTGTGGTTTCCAGTTTGTCAGGTGTCCCATATAATTTTTCCCTGAGTGGGGTGGGCTGGGGCCAGTGTCTGCCTCTTGCCTGGCCATACAGAGTACATTCCTGGAGTACGTGCTCCGTGTTTTCCGGGGCCTTGCCACAAGGGCACATTTCGCTACACCCAACCTTCAGTTTTTTGTGCATGTGTTGATTTAGTCTGTTGTGGCCTGTTCTAAGTCGAAAGATTATGTATTGTTGTTTTCGTGTTAAATTGTAATAGCCGTCGTCTTTAATGTAGTGAGGGTGTGTGACAGACCACATTTGCGTTTGTTTGTTTTTAATTATTCTTTTTATTTCTTTTGGGTGTAGCGAAATTTCCGGTTGTGGTTTCTTTCCCCCAATTTTTGCCAGCTGGTCTGCGATCTCGTTACCCTGGATCTGGCAGTGGCCCGGGATCCACTGCAGCACAATTCTGCTGCAGGTATTTTTTAGCCTCTCTAGTGCTGTCATAAGTGTTTGAATATAGGACTCCGGATTTTGTAGGGATTGCAGGACTGATTTGGCATCTGTAAGAAATACAATCTGACTATTCGGTGATTCAGGGTGTTCTGACAGGAGGTTTGCTGGTTTGTTCAAATGATTATATCTCGATAATCATTCTCCAGATTTCTATAATATTTTGAGGCATTATGGAGAATCATACTGGCTTTTGATTTATGTAAAAAAAACAGAAAATTGAATTTTTTTGAGATAGATGGCTTGCAACCGAGACCATCGATATAGTAAAATGAAATGAGAATATGTTATTTAATTAATGTATTCCATAAAAATTAAGTCAAACAGCATGATTAAAATTTGTAACCTGTTTCTTATGATCCTTTATTTAACTATATAACAAAGTTTATGCACTAGAATTTTTAACTACAACAAAATTATATGATAGCTAAAGCCCATTATTGTATTGTTAATAATAGTGACACAGGTATAATAATAAATATGATCCATACTTTGTTATATCTTTTTCTTATAACGATAAAGACTATTAAAATATTTACTACTGGAGCGACTTAATAGTTTTAAGCGCTCACATTATTCATTACCAACAACTTAACACTTCTTTGTTCTTAATTGTACTGCTGGAGAAGATTTCTTTCAACACAATTATGTATTAAACATCAACATGTTACGCCCCATAAGGCTGTCTGCTTTTCTTTCTTGATTTGCTTCTATAGCCTTTGACTTTGTCCAGCCTAGAACAAACTAGAAGGCAGCAGCTGTCCCCAGCTATCAAGCCCCAGGACTAAACAACAGAGTTTAGAAATCATGAGCTTTACCTTTGCCCGCCTGACCATGCCAACCCCTTATAACTTTTCTCATAATTAATTATATTTGACTAAAATAATTAAATCTTACCAGTCTCTATCTGACCAACTTCTGGACCCTTCTTAATAATATCAAAACTTAGTAGCTTGGCAGCCATTTTTTTCCAAGTTGCACTTCTCATAATATTTTTTGCATTCTGCCATGAGTCTGTATATAGATGTAGCACCCTAAACCAATGTAAGGTAAATAAATACCAGATTATGTTATGCTAAACAATATCGAACAAAGACTTTTTTTTTACAAAGTATTAATATTAAGGGAAAATTCAGCAAAAGACGGTAGACAAATAAAAATTACCCTTTTCTTTGTCTAGCTGGTAATTTATCATCAATTGTTTCACCTTCACCACTTTCTTTACCCGTCCCTTTTTTTCTCATAAAAATTTGAGAAAACTGAGCAAGTTTGATGAGGCGAACAAAGTTTTCTGTCATATCATCAGCATTCCAAGGATAAATCTCTATGTGGTAAGTCCAGTTGAACCCTGTTAACAAATAGGTTGATAAGTCCAATTTTTTTTTAATTATAAACATTCTGCTTGAAAAAACTCCTAGGCTACATAAATAACTTATGAAAAATAAAATAAACCAAAAACCTGGTTCTGTTTCACGAATTTCATCAATTTCATCTTCAAGTTTCATATCAGTCATTAATACTTCAGTTGTCTCATCTAAATCATTGGCTGCATTCTTTTCCAGTTTAGCTTCTTTCATTTGATCATTTACCTCAGTTTCTTCGACCTCTTCCATCATTATCATGCACTGATTTCTACAATCTAGTTTAAATGAAATTATACAACATTTTTACATGGACACTATTTTTTAGTTATAAGCAGTATCAGGATCAACTTTAATATAAAAAACTAATCACAACATATAGAGCTAGATACAAAAAAACAAAGAATGTTAAAGAAAATTTCATGTGACTGTTAGGCTAAACTTGGAGTTAAAATGTTTAGATAGGTCTATAGCCAAAAAATGCATAAATAGCATGCAGCCATCTGTAATAAATCTCATTACAACGGTCTATGAGGAGTTATAGAGAGCCTATAATAAATAGTAATTAAATAGGCCCTAGGCCTAATATTAATAATATAATTAGGCCTACGACTATTAATATTAGCTAATATGGTAATCTATTGTTTTCTGTAAGTAAAACTGGCCGAGGCTAGTAATGTGAAAAAAAGTTTAAAAGGTGACTCATTAATTAAATGTTTGTAATTATTTCACATTTTTAGGAGGATTTATGTTTTGAAAGTTACAAAAATGTTTTAAAGTTACAAAAATGTTTCAAATTTTCATTCAATTAGCCTACCTGTTTTTTAACAATTGTATTAAAACTTTAAAATACGCTCAACTGGAGGTGAACGCGAAGAGGGGTATAAAATACTTACTTAATACTTAAAATACGCTAAAAATAAATCTAGTAAAAAATTTTCTAAATGGAGTTTTACCGTCAATAGATTACCAGCTAATATTAATAGTATTGTATTATTAGCCTATTATCTATCATTTTAGGTACGTAAAATCGCCCGCGGCTAGTAATGTATGAAAAAGTTACCTCGTTGTCAAATCTTTAATAGAAGTATACTGTGATATATTTGTGTCAAATATTATAGCTAAATGAATAATAAACCTAAATCAATGGCAAACCATATTTTACCATATCAATATATTATAGACCAGAAATTAACTTTAAACAGCAGTGTTTGGGAGCAAGATTTGCTATAGGCCTATATAATAAACAGCAGCCATTTGTAAAAATATAGTGGCTTCCCCTGAATCTGCTATAAGTTTACATTACATGAAAACAAACTTAAACAAGATGTCTGCTATAGTAAATGAGCATGGTAGCATCTGTTGGAAACATCGCAAGTCTTCATTTATTACTGAAAACCTTTAATTCAATTGTTTAAAAACAGGTAGGCTACATAAAATGAAACAAGGAAACACTTTTGTATTTTTCAAAACATAAATTAAATCATCCTCAAAATGTGAAATAATTATTAAAATTTATTTTTAAGGAGTCACCTGTTTTTCACATTACTAGATCTAGAATCTAGATTTAGATCTAGTGCTAGTCGCGGCGATTTTACGTACCTAAAGTTTAGGTTTAGGTCCTAACCCCCTCAAACTAAAACGATAGATTTAATTATTAATTAATAATTAGGGCCTACTTAACTAGATCTAATTAAACTAATTACTAATTAGTAATTACTACTAATTACGTAGTAATTAGTAATTTAATTAGGCTACCGGCTACACTATTTTGTTTATTATTTATATTTAGGCCATAATTTTTAATTTATTAGCCTAGGCCTAATATTAATTATTTTTTTATATCCAATCTAAATCAAGTCTAGATCTAGATCTATATTCAATATTCTAGCTAGTCTAGATCTAGAAATCTAGATCTGGAAAAATATTACATTATTTAATTAATCATTTATTAATCATTTACTAGTCTACTAGTCTAGTGATTACGTTAATTTTTACTAATATTTTGAGAGAAAACAAACTTTGCCTGATAAATAAACCAAAAATGCTGCGAAATGTTTTTGTTAAAAGCTAATAATTTAAAAATTGCTCATTTGTATTTATTTATTTGATCCTATCTATCTACATATGCCTAACTAAACAATTTATACAAGAAAATAATGAAAAATGTACTTCAATTCAGGTTTTACAAGTTCATGTTTTAAAATTTTGTCTTAATTTAAAGCTGCAAACTTGGTTTCCAATATGGCAAATATGTACAAAGCTTTCTATACTAAACACCGAAAAGAAAGCAAACAAAATTAGACCTATTTTCCCTAGAACTTTTCAAAATTCTATTGTTTAAAACAAAACAAAAAATGTTTACATTAGCTAATTTATATTAAGTACGCAAACAAGAAAAGCTTTCAGTGTGATCAACTTAAACGGAAAATCACAATAAACGTTATAAAAACTAAGAGCAAATGAGTTTTGGGTGCTAAGGTGTTGTCCATGGCGTGGTCCGATGGACTTTTGTGATAATGCGTGACGATGGGGAGGGGGAGTTCAGAACGTTCGACGAAACACTTTTGCTCATTAAAAAGTATGTTAGAAAGTTAGTTTAAGCCTTTATTTCCCATTTTAAACAGACTTAGTTTTTTTTACAAGCTTTTATTTAACTCACTTCCTCTGTCGACTGTCTGTCGTCAGTCTAGATAGAAACGCAGGAGTGAAAATTCGGACAGTTCTACTTGACCGATACGATTCACACTTGGCACGTGGGTCAAGACATGAAGACAATGCAATCTGAAACTAAATTTGACTTAATTGGATGCCTAATTAAATTTTTATGAATTAATAAAAATTTGGACCGAATTAGTAGGCATGTCTAGCCAACCACACCACACGCGTCATCACCATCAATAGCTGCGCCATCACGTAATGGCTGCGTTCTAAAACCATTGCGCGCCTACTGAACGTGATGTTCAGTAGGCGCGCAATGGTTTTTAGTCATGTAACTCTATTGTAAATAAAACATGTAAAGTACTGAAAAAAAATTCATAAAAAACTTTTTAATAACAAGCTTTTATGTAATGATGCACTAAAAAGTAGAAAATAAATTATAGACTACTATTTAAATAACTATAAAGAAAAGCGTGGGTGTCTTCCTTAACATTAGTAAAGGTATCCAATAGATACTAAAGTGACCCACGCTTTTCTTTATAGTTATTTAAATAGTAGTCTATAATTTATTTTCTACTTTTTAGTGCATCATTACATAAAAGCTTGTTATTAAAAAGTTTTTTATGAATTTTTTTAAATTATAATTTTAAAAATTGACCAATATGAACTATTTTGATCGAACTCAGTAAATAATTTATACTTTAACAAAAAAAAATATGAGTGAGTGGTAAGCTTAGGCGTGACTTCTTTTGGGGAGGGTCAGGCATTTTGTGACGATGGGGTTCGTCTATAAATTATGTCACGCATTTCATTGATGATTTTATCATCGCAAAAAGTCAGACCCCAACCCCTTTAAATGACGTAACGTTTTTTTTTTAATAAAGCGATTTCCTTTTAAACAATAAATTGAGCTCAAAAACTCAATTTATAAACTTTAAAAAAAATTCACATGACACGTCGTCACACACAACAGTCCGTAACCCCCCCCCCCCCCCCCAAAAAAAAAAGAAGTGTTGTCACAGTAATATGAATCAGTGGTTCTTAACCCCAGGGGTTCGGTAAGTCAGTCTCATGGGCTTGGCGGTTATGAAATTGGTGGGGTTCAGTAACTCCAAAATGGTTAATAACCACAGTCCAAATTAATAATTTAACTAGATCTACTATTTTTTTATACCCTCTGAAATTCTCAGGTAATTAGCGTGACCGAAATTCAATAAATAGTAGTGTTGTCATTTTTTGTACCTCTATCACAGTCTACTAGGAATTTTTACACTTAGATCTACGGGTAGATAGATAGATCTATGTCTTATGATCATACACAATACAAAATACACAAGGCTAAGCCAAGGTTAACATAACAGGATTAAGAAGATTCTATTATCCAACACTGGTACTATAAAAATCCCCTGAAGTGAAGTGATAGACTTCCTCGCTTAGGACGGCTTAGGTTCTAATAAAAAAATAAATAAAAATTGTCCAATTCTAGACTGGAAAAAGATATGCATGCGCAATCGAGAGAAATTACTGCCTTCATTGATCATTCAATGCGATGTTTTTGATGCTGCACATGCGCGTGTCTACAAACAAACCGCAGAACCCTAACCGTAGTGCAGCTATAATTATTAAATTAAAATTAATGGTAATCTATCGTTTTGGGTACGTAAAATCGCCCGCGGCTATTAATGTACGAAAACGTTACCTCATTGTCAAGGCTGTAATAGAAGTATATTGTGATATGTTTGTGTCAAATATTAGGTATAGATAAATGAATAATAAACCTTAATCAATGGCTAAATATATCAATATAGGCCAGAAATTAACTTTAAACAGCAGTATCTGCAAGCAAGATTTGCTATATAAACAGCAGCCATTTGTAAAATAGAGTGACTTACGCCTGAATCTTGCGCTATAAGTCTATAAAAATAAAACTTTAACAAGATGGCTGCTATAGTAAATGAGCATGGTTGCATCTGTTGGAAACATCGCTGGTGTTCATTTATTACTGAAAAGTTTTAATTCAATTGTTTAAAAACAGGTACATAAATGAAACAAGGAAACATTTTTGTATTTTTAAAAACATAAATCCTCCTCAAAATGTAAAATAATTATTGAAATGTAAGGAGTCACCTGTTTTTCACATTACTAGTCGCGGGCGATTTTACGTACCTAAAACGATAGATTACCAAATTAATTTAAGGTCACTTCGCATGTGCAGATGTATTGAGTTTTTTCATATTTTCTGCCAAAAAATCTTTTTCCAAATTTTCACTTCGATTAAAATTAGGTTGTACAGTTGTAGATCTAGTTCTAGATCAATCAAGTTATAATTTTTTTTTCGCATTTGGGAACATTCCCAAAATATTAAAATTTTAAGTGGATAATAATATTTATTTAGAATCCATCCTTTGAATCACTAGCAGAATAAAGAAAAAAATGCATTTTTCTGCCCTTTTGAACTCCAAAAAATGCTGTGTTTATGTGTGGATTCACATCAGCCACCAACTAAATTGCATAGAAAGCATAGGTTTGACTGACTGGTTGGCAGCTGCCGCTTACAAATCCTTTAGGGACTGATATTTATACCTTACCAATATCCAACTGTAGACTCTTCCCCAATTCACTCACTGTCACTAAATGAAAATGTGTGCTGAGGGGGGGGGGGGGGGGGGGGTGGTTACTATCATACTGACAAATCTAATCTGTTACAAGACTGAGTGTGTGTCTGTGATTATGCAAGTTAGCCAATACTCAAAATAGTTCAAAATAAAAGAGGAGGTAAAATAGTGTAGGTCAGCTAGACATTGGTCGAGCAGAACCAATAGAATAGCCCGACCAATTAGGAACTAACTGACCGGTCTTGTTTGATGGTCAGCTAATCAAACCAAGCATTAGGGTGGTTGGCCACTCAAACATGTAGTAGGTAGTTGGGGATTAGGCAGGTAGTAGGCAGTTGGACATAGATTTTGTTATGAGAAAGTTGAGCTAGAGTAGGACCATAGATTCGCAAGGGCATAGTGGAGATAGTAGAAGTAAAGTGTAGGAAAGTGGATTTATGTTAGAAGAAAATGGTTTATGTATGAGTTGAGTTTGTGTCAGTTGTTAATTTCCAACTGAAGAAATTCATCAGGCACTTTAGAAAGGTTAAAGATCCCCATATATACACAATACAGTATATGTAAAACATCCAATCACCACAATGTCTTATAGCCACTATAGTGAATACTGGTAGTGGAATCTTCTTATAAAGGTGTGTTCTGTGTGTTAGGTTACTGTTAGTTAACTTTTTTGTAGGAATTTATTATGAGAAGACACACTTTTCAGCTGCTTTTTTTTCCAACTGTTTAGTTAAAGACTTATGGAAATATTAAAATTTAAAAAATAGATCTACTTAAAAAAAAATTCATACAAAAATTCAATCAATTTAGTCATTTAAATGAATTAATTAATAATGATGATTAGACTTTTAAATAAAGTTTTTTTACTCTTACAAACATTTCTTACATTCTGTCATAAACTTGTTTAATATTTAAATATTATTGGACATTGAAAAAAGTTTGTTTTATTTATTTTTATTTTTAGTGCATTTGAAAGCTGATTATTATAAAGGTGTTTTTTTTTTTATTTTATTTTCACCTTTTTAGTATCTCGTTCTTAAAGTTTATATCAGAGTCTATTTTTAAAACATTTGCTTTAAAACCTGATGAATAGCTTCTGAATTATCTCCCCCTACTTAATGTCTATATATGAGACGGAGTGGTCTAGCGGTAGAGAGCTGAACAGCTAGCCCGTAAGTCTCGAGTTCGAGTCCAGGTTCAAGTCAGTAGAGTGACACTGAGTCCACCCAACTCTGATGGGTACCTAACTCACGTTAGGAGAGAGTAAAGGCGGCTGGGCATAGTGCTGACCACACTATCTCTTCATATGCCGAAGTCACAGAAACAAGTGAACTCTAATTCACTTGCCCCATAGACCTTCAGGTTTGAAAGGGAAACTTTACTTTTTTTTTTTTACTTAATGTCTATGGGAAGTCTCATGTGTGATTGCTATAGCATTGCTGATTGTTTGCTTGGGATTAGTTCTGTTATCTGCCCTTTTGTTATTGAATTTAGAAATCTTTAAATTAATTTCCAATGACAAATTTAAATCTTGTTAGATATTTAATTGATAATGATAGTATGATGAATGATAGCTTTGGCGTGTAATGGTAATTTATAAATTATTTGTCTGCCAATAACAAACTTTTGACACTATGAACCACAAAATTATTAAATATTGTTTAGTTTAGAATTTTTACTGAAGGTGATTGCTTTTTAAGTTATTACCTACTCTTCGTTTATCATACTTTTTACACACAGAAGAACGTATGTTGCTTGTCTTTTTTTACTTTTAAAATGAGGTAATTGTGTAGGTAATTTTGTTTTCAAACTTCCTATTTATTACATATATTATGTGTTCAATACATAGTCATGTCATACAGAATCGTGTTAAAAATTGAGCATGAAAAGTTTCTGAGATTGAATAAAGAATATTGCAATTTTATAAGCATGTCCATCTTTTGTTAAGGTCATCATCTGAAAAAGTTTTAGGATTACTGCAATGTTTGACCTGATTATTCATGTTAAGTCAACTGTTTGAAAAATGCATATTGATTTTTATTTGTTAGACAAAAATTTGCCTGAAAATCAATATATTGATTTTTCTATTGATTTTTTAATGAAGTTTTTCATAATATTGATGAGATAATATGTGCTTTTTCTGTTTCTATTTTGATGTTATCCAGAGTTTCAAAGATGACAGATTTAAAATATGTGATCATCAATACCCACTGAGTTTGGTGTAACACTTCTCTGTCCGCGGATAAACATCAGCCAGACCATGTTGCTAAAGGAGTACAGAATATGTATGCCATTATCAGTAGAAGAGGTACTTTTCATATTAAGTTTACTCTTACATTCTAAAGCATAAATGGTGTAAATTTTACTCAAACACATTACATCAAGTGACTGGTAAAATACTTAACATAATTTTGTTTAAAATTTCCTTATAAAACTTATTTATGAAATTTTTTATAATACTAAATTAAAGTTTCATAAAAACATAGAGTATCTTTTTTATACAATTGTATTATTTATTTAATTAAAGGTATTTTAAACTATTAACACTCTAGGTGTTAATAAAACTCTAGTTTTTGTCTGTTTTTGTTGAAACATTTTATCTCAATCTGCTTTTCCAAGCATTATTTAATAAGTATAAATATTGTATCATTTTTCAAGCCAACTACCTTCAATATATGAGTACAAATTATATTAATATTTTATACCTGTCACTGGCATATTCTCTTCCAGAGTTCTTCTCTAATCTTCAGCTTTCAAATTTAAGCAGTCAGCTGGCTTGTAGTTTTCATCCATACATGTTGAAACATACATTCTCTCCTCTGTTTAGTATCGTATTGGCCAACTGTACATGATAGCCAAACACAGTCATGAGCAAACAGACAATGGAGAAGGTGTAGAGATCATCAAGAATGAAGAATGCAATGACCCCATCCATGGAGTTGGTAGATACACTGAGAAAAGAGTACATCTGTCCAAGTTAGTGGCATTGTTATATTTCTTGCGACTTCAAACAGTAAAATAAATTCTGCAGGTGTGGTTCTTCTAGATAACTAAAGTAACAATCAGACAAAATGTGTTAATCAAAAAAATATATTAAATAGTAAGAATTAGGTTATCTTTTAATTTTTATAAGATTTTTGGTTGGATTTTTCAAAAGATTGGAATGTTGACTGCATTTTTAAAGTTGAAAACTTTAAACATATAAGATCAAACATGGCACATTTGTAACACAAATTTTGAATTATTGTATTATATTGTTTAATAATAGCTTTAAATTTATTTCACATCCTGAAATAGTCGATTGCCTTCTTGGATTCGCTCATTGATACCAAAAATATTCTATGTGACAGAGAAAGCTTGGAACTATTATCCCTTTACTATAACAGGTAGATGTCTGAACTTATTTATCATGTACATATCTTAGTATGACAGTCCTTACTTAAGAACACAAAATAATTGTTCTTGCTGTAATTTTGTTTACATCAGATTGTTCTAGATATTTTCTTCTAAATTTTTGCTCAGTGTTTAAATAGCTATTTTTTGCTATGTAAAGTTTATACTGTTGCTTTTATTTTTCTAAACATTAAAGCCATATTTGATTTCTTTTTCATTGGATGAATCTTGTGGTTTGAAGAATACACAGTAAGTAAGCTTACTCATACTATTGTTATGGTACTAGACTAAGACAAACAACTAGTATTATATGAAAATAAAAGATATAAACCATCATTATTAGTTTAAAAACGACCTTAATTCTTGATTAAAATGAATATTTTATAACATTGGATACACAGTAAAAAACTGATTTTATTAGGCCATATTTAGCTATTTATGAGAAATGGTGGAGCTCAATGATTACTTACTAACCAAAAAAAATTTTTTTATTTTGATAGTGTTGTGTAAGTGTATATAGATCTAAAACATACCAAGCATATTTAAATTTCAGTGTTCATTCCTACCACGCTACAGTATTTATATAGAGACAAGATATGAAGATAATTCTGGAATATCTGATAATGTAAGTTAACTCATAGATATATTAAATTAATTCATTCTCATCTAATTTTTTTAGTTTTACTTAGAATTGAATTTATAATTTATTTAATATAGAGAATAATACTCTGTTGAAAACAATTTGCTTAGCATACAGTAAGGTTTTGATTTTCTTTGCCAGTGTTTAAATTTATCTGAAGATGAGATGGAGAAGAGAGAAGTTGATTACATTGATATTGTGAATGACCCTTTACCTCCCAAACATTATAAGGAGAGTGAAGTGAGTTGAAAGTTTCCCATTTTTGTCTTTGTTCTTGTATTAGATTCTTTACTATTTTAAACCTTTTATGTTTTAACGTGTATCCAGTTAATGTTGTATTCTTATTTGTTGTATAACCTAAATGGATTTATTTGCTTTATTGTCTAAATGGGCTCATCATATTCAATCAGGATTTGACAAAGTTTAAATCAAGCAAAACTAACAGGGGGCCGCTTCACGACAACTGGACAGTAAGTTCTCATTGTGTTGTATGTGAGGTAGATGATGACTGACATTTTACATACACTCAATGGAATGTTTTTACCCATCTAGGAGGACTGTGCACCCCTTATGTGTTCCTATAAAAGTGTTAAAGTCAAATTTGAAGTGTTTGGCCTACAGGGTAAAGTTGAAACATTCACTCATAAGGTCAGTCACATTTTCAGTTATTGTATGGTTATAATAGTATATAAATGCTGTCCAAAACAAAGATAGTTGGTTCTTTAAAACAAGTTTACAGTTTTGTTGAAAGTAGTATCTGTTTGAAAAATCTAATAAGATACTATTTTTTTTTATTTTGCTAAACAAGCACTTTAAAACTAAAGGTTTTTTTTACTAACCTCTTTTTTATTGAATAGTTAGATTTGATGAATATTTCTGATAGCATTGAATCTTGAATCATTTACTGTCTCAACTCTTTAACATAAATAAATAAATTCCAGACTGTAAGAGATATTCTACTTTTGGGACACAGACAGGCTTTTGCATGGATTGATGAGTGGATAGGTTGGTAAATTTAAATTTATTTTAATATAAAATTGAAAAATGACTACTACTTTGGTGGCTAAGTAATGACATAGTTTGTTTTAAGTCCATGCATGTTTGTTTATATATTTAATTTCGATATAGTTTATTGAGTAAGTTGGATATCAGATGACGTACTAATTAAGATTCCTTTATCTGTTAGATATGAGTATGGAAGATCTGCGAGCATATGAAACATCAACAAACGAGGCGACCAATAAAAAGGTTTTGTCTTCGTAATACTTAGCACTTGATCAGTTTCATGTTGATTTCTGATGTTTTATGTTCATATGAAGAACTAGTTTTAAAAATGATCTTTTGATCAGATACTTTTAGCACTTACCTATTTTTTTTTTTAGTGTTTTAGGCTTATAATTGACCAGATGTTACTTGTTAATTATTGATCTATGGATCAATAAATTTTTCAGCTGATTAAAAAAAAAACTTAAATCATTAAATCTATCATATTTTACTATTTTAAAAATGGTTATTAGCTCTTGCACTATTTATTTTTTCTTTGTTATTCCCAAAAATTATTTAGCTATACACATTTTTAACCCAAATGTTTTGTCCATGACTTTGAGAAACTGATCAATTTTATTGTGTGTCATATTTTTAGACAACATGCACCAGAGGGTTGATTTTTTTCCTTTTTATATTTAAATGTTTATTCATCTCGAACAAATATGTTAGAATAAGATAGAGAGAAAAAGTTTAGCTTTGGAGGATAAAATGAGTGTATAGTTCTGTTTTGTTGCAATGTGTGCCCCACATTTATGTGATGCTTGATGTATTCTTTTTTCCATTCCACGAAACCTGTGTGATAATCGTGATCTCACTGGAGGCATATCAAGTGTATAATCAGGTTGGGTGTAGCCAGTAGATTTGTTGCTAGCTTTACACTTATTAAATCTATCACTTGCTGTTTGTGAACATTTTCTGAGATGTTTGTCATGGGTGTGTTTTTTTTTTCAAATCATTTATTTTATTTTGTGATTAGAGGTTGCATTTTTTATTATGTATGTTTATTGTTATCAAGTGCGTAACCAGGTCAGGTGTAGCCAGTAGATTTGTTGCTAGCTTTTACACTTAATGACTCCTTCACTTGCTGTTTTGTTGGTGGACATTTTCTAAGATGTTTGTCTTGGGTGTTTTATTGAGAAAAAAACAATTTTCAAATAATTTCTTGTACTCAGTGATGAGAGGTTAAATTTTTAAAATGATGTATGTTTATTGTTATCAAGTGTGTAACAACTTTAACTATTATAAATACTTTCGTATTTTCAAAAACAGATTGTTTTTTAAGATGAATCCTTTATTGTTTATTCACCCCTATTCCATATGGCATTTGTTCTTAAGGGTTATAGTCAGCTGTGATACATCCTATTATTCACATTGACATTTTCAAGGATTTTAAAATCTAAAACAATGCAAGCATTTTTCAATAAAGCTACTACTTTACTGTAGCAGTGATCTTCCTATTTTAAACCTGTCTTGCAAAACAAAGGGATATACTAGGATTGAAATAACTGTCTCACATACAAGCTTTATGAAATTAATTTAGGAGTTTTTCCTATCAATTGTAAGTTAATAAATATATGTCATCCCTACAAAGTTGTGAATTTGGAGGTTCCAAGTTTGAATACTCCATAGTGGGATACCATGTTACATCCTATGGAGTTTGTTGAGCCCTTCCATTTCTGTTACTTTTACCTCAGAGATTTAGAATTAATGTTTGGTGTTGTGCTTGTCACTTTGTTCACCAACCTTCCCTTAGAAATCAGTGGTGTCACCAAAGAGAATGTTTCTACTTTGTTTTAGAATCTATTTTCAAAGTTCATATACAACATGCATTAACAGTCAGCCAACACTCTTTTAATATTTATCAATATTTAGCAGTGGAGAACTGAGTACATGACCTTTCTCCTGATATAAAGCTTCAAGTTGTAGATTTACCTAATGTATGAGTTCATTCATTAATATTGAGAACTTTACTAATTCTGAACCTCAACATCTCATTTAAGCTACTAGATTACAACTTACTAATAAGTTGGATTACTATCTCTTGCTATTAAAAAATATTATTGCTTAACTCATATCAATACTATTAAAAGCTGGATATATACTTTTTATACTATAACCCCATGTTAACTTATATAATAACAGTTGTATTTGCTTTAAGTACACTTCCATAACTTTTCTATTCCACTGGCTAAGTAGAATGACTATCAACTTAGTACATTTTAACTTTGGCAGAGTGGAACGATGTTAATAATAATCTGTTCAAATATTTAATTTGTCAGGACCGTGTTGAAATGTATATCGGCTCAAAAATCAATAGGGCATTCATGTATATAGTGGATTGTAACTTTTTTCTTAAATCTAATGTTCAATGATAAATTTAAAAGGATTCTTTTCTCTTTTTTTATTATTTAAAAATGTTTTAAAATTGACTTTTTTTTTAGCATTTTAAACCATTTTGTTTTAAAACATAACCTTAGTTCATAACATTTTTATTATACTTGAAGACACTGTGTCCCACAATTTAAGTAGAGCCTAATGTTAATGGCATCAGATTAGATCTGTAGGGTTTCATTTCACATTTACAAATAAACATTTGTATTTTGCCATATTTTTTAATAAACACATGTTGCCATATTTTATTGATGATTATTTTAATGTGTTAAAACCCTGTGTTGAAGTTTTTTGCTCAAGGTAATTTTCCTTATCTTTGTCTCACTAATAGTTTTTTCCTTGGTTTCATTTTTAAAAATAAAATATATTCACTTTTATTTTGTGTATTTATTTCTTTGTGTGCATTTGTTTTTTATTTATAAAGTCCAGATGTTTTAACTGACAACAAATGAATATCATTTGTTTACACTACAAAACGTACTTGAACGTTTGTAAAAACAAGATTGGAGGGAAAAAAGCATAATTTTTATCCCTGGTCAGATTTCAAAATAAAAATGGAACACTGACTTAATAACACAAATGATGGTTTATTGAAAAATGGATGGAAAAAAAAATAAAACAATAGATTAAATCTCACAGCACAATTTATTTGAAAGATTCCACTAACATCACTTGTATGCTGAATTAAAAACATCACCAAAAGAAATTCTAAATGTACACAATATCTCTGAGGCAAAGAAAACAAAACTGGTTGAGCAACAAATGATTACTGTCACTTCCATAGATGTTTCGTTGATTGCTTCATCACAACAAGTTCAAGCAAAACAAACAAAATTGATGATAGCAACACACACTCATTCATTAAAAGATAACAAACAAGAACCTGGATATCTCTTAAATGATATTGCACTGTCCTTAAGCACTGTCACGACTTCACTTAAAATTCGTTAAAGTAAAATTAGTATTCTGACATTAAAAACACTAAAAGATGAAAAGTAAAAAGCTTGAGTTTCTTTTAGAATATGGTGAGTGTATTCAACCTCAAATGTTTTCATACCTAAACGTGCATAAGTACAATCTGTACAAAACTTACAAACAATAATTTTAAGCTGCTAGCAACATAACCTGGAACATTTCTTAAAGCCAACAAGAAGCTTGGACATGCGTGTTTAACATCTAGCAATGGCCTTCTTATAACAGTAGCAAATAACATGAATGGTGAGATATATGTATGTAATTAGCAACTTTTTTTTTAAATAACGGATAATGATCAAAGTTGTTTAAAGTAAACCTGCTATAGTGAATGCTAGTAAAAAAAAAAGAAATTGCAGAATCTGGTGTTTGAGTATTGAGTTTATGCATATCAGAAGGTAACAGAATGGCAATAATAAGTAGATATCTGGACAGCAGTAATCAACTTAGTGGTAATGGAAAAAATTTAAAATGCTTGTTGACTAGAGGGTGAGAATGTGTATATGCAGTCGAGTCCAACTCATATAGCCCAGTAAAACTAAGAAAGAAAATTTTACTTAAATAATTTCCCTGCCAGGAAAATCTTAAAACACTGGTACTGATGTGTAAAGAAAATCTTTAAAAATTGGTACTGATGTAGAAATATCAATGAATGCCTAAGGGACTTTGGGTAGGGGTCCAGCTCACTAGATCAATGAACACAATCAACATAATGGTGGAACAAATGGATTCCTGGGTTGTGACCATTTTAACAGAAACAAACATCTGGAATGCCTAGGGGCCTATACACTTGTACACTATATACAACTTTTGCATCATTGATCCGATTTCTTTCAAGTCAGTAAGGACAGGTATCATGAACATGGTCTCTGCTTCATAAAATCCTACATGTCAAGTGAGAATAATCTATACTTTAAAAAGACTTCAAGTTTAGCAAAGTGTTTCTATACAGGGAAGCAAATAGTATCAGAGCTAAATAAATGACCAGCTGAGTATAAGGTGCAATGCCAAAAATTTTTTTTAAAGATTTTAAAATAAGTGAGTTGTAAAACTTTACAACAGAAAACAACTTTAGAACTGACAAACACAACTTTTTATCTTATTAACAACCGACAAACATTAAACATTCATACCTGACAAAAATATAACAATAGTTCCAATATATCAATTTTTACCTCCGCCAAAAAGCAATCACGTTATTGGTCCATTAAAGTTATGACACACTGATGTGATCTGTGATACAATAAGTTAATCCTTTATATACACTGATCCCGAATCACAACAGTTTTGAGTTGAACATTTCATAATTAGTTTAATGAAGCTGAAATTTTATATTCACAGTCAACAAGGGACTAGAGTTTCTCCATCTGGACACTGGTCAGTTCTGGGAAAAGTTCTTGTATGACAATGTCCAGCAAGACATAACTCAACTGAAATAAAAGAACAGTTGGAATTAGAATATGTATTCTTTTTAGTATAACATACACAATTCTTAACCATAGAGGGATCTCATCAATACCTGTTTATTTAGCTTAGGTTGTTGGAAAATGTTCAGGAGAAGTTCACATCCATTTGTTGTTTTTGTTGGCCCAAGAGCTGAGGTCAGTAGCCCTGAGTAAAAATATGTTTCATGATAAATGACTAATTAATGATAAACTATTGAAATGATATGATTTTTTTTTTTGAGATCAGAATGATAATTAATTTATTGGTAGCAAATTTTATTTTCAGTAACTGCTACACTTTTTACCTGGCAAAAACTCAACCATTTCCTGAAGTGCTTTATTATATCGCTGTTCTTTGTCTTTGTCAGTTCTGAAAATATATATATATCACCAAATTTCAACATCAGGATAAGTCAAGGCAAAATTTAAAAAATAAAAAAAATTACAAGCTAAATATAAATGTCACCTTAAAGTTTAACAACTAGTTATTGCAGTGAATTTTTATAGAGTGAATGAAAGGCCTGTCAAAACTAACAAAACTGTATGTTACCTTGGAGGATCATTATCATTGAAAAGTACATCTGAAATGTAGAAGTGTAGAAGAAATTAAACAACACTTGCTATTTTTATTGCAAATAGTGTTGTACTTTTATGAAATTAGAGGTTATATCTATTATACTAATTATAGTTACTAGCATGATGTAAAAAAAAAAACTACCCAAAGATACTTTAATAATGAAACACTCATCATCAAGAAAAAGTTATTGAATAATAAGTGATACAGACTTTTTTGATAAAATAGTAAAATATAAAAGTGATGTAATATGAATTAATAATATCTTAAAGTTTAGTAATGTATTACAATACATGGTATTTCAAGCATTTACATGTGAATAAAAGCCAACTTACCTTTTAGTAAATGGATTAAGCTAACCAGCCTGTGCTCTTGAGTGACCTGGGACAATTTGTTTTCAATGTGTTGATTCAGGTAACTCTCCACAGTTTCTTTTAGCAGAATCCTCAAGCTCAACATAACTTGTTGTAAAAACAGAGGAGCTCCAAAGATGTTTTTCACTGGGGACAAAGTAAATTAGCCAGAGTTAAAAGATATCCTTTTAATGGTAAACAAACTACAGATTATTAATGTTAAAATATATTTTACTGCAGTTTAAGTAACTGTTTGCTCATGTTAAAATGTTTTACTGCCAACTAAATTACAAAGATGGGCAGTTCAAATGAAGTTTTTAAATGATTGTCCATATAACAAAGAAATAAAATGATAAATGATAGAAATGAAAAAGAAATCTAATGTAGTTGTTTTAACACTGTTCTAAAATATTGTGCTATAATTTAAATGTATACCAGTACCAAGCAAGTTATTTAGCAAACCAAATGTGAAGAAAATTAACTTACAAATAAAAAGTAGAGAATCAAATGGTCCATCAATATCAGTCATTTGGTGGAGTACATCTTTTTTTGATTGAGGTGGGTTGAAGCCATAGTTCATATTGTTATCATAGTGGGTCCCTGAAAGCTGGAGAAAAAAAAATCTGACTTTTTACAGCTAATTAATCACAGCTAATTGTTAAAAAAGTTAAGTACTTATCAAAATTTACAAAAAATTATTTGTTCACCATCTTTAGGCAACTAAATGGTGAAATGACTCTTAAAATCTTTCATTTACTCTAAAACAGTTTTCTTACTCTGTTTAACCAACCTAAATAAGGTACTTAAAAAAGCAGAGACTTAAATAATAATTAATTTTTCTAGTGTAACTTATAAATTCTTGAAATCTTGTTTTGTTTACTAGTCTAACTGAATTTTGATTTGAAGTGAAACCTTGTTCTTCTTTTTTTTTACCTTAGGAATGCCAAGAAAAAAACAACAATAGTAATGTGTGACAGACCAACCTTCTCACTTGACGTTGACAACAGTGAAGTCTCAGATCCTCTTCTAGACAGCTTACTAAAACACAGGCAAAAGTGTACAACTTTAAACAAATTTAGTCACAACATTATAAACCGTTAAACAAACATTTAATTGATATTAAATAAGTATTTTAATGATTGGGAATTACACTATGAAAAATACTTAAGCAAGATTAAAATTTAATCATTACATCGATCGAGGTTTTGTTGCTTCAGTTGAAGTTGCAAAAGTTAAGAGAAATTCATCCAAATGTTGGCCTTTCTGATGAGTGAAACGTAAAAAAAAATTTATTTTTTACAAACACCATGGTAAAAGCTTATAAGTTTAGACCCTAATTATCATTAAACCTCTTCCTGACCCCATTTGATAGACCTTGTGGGTGTTTAAATGTGTGGGTGGTTGTGAGTATATAAAATATTGTCATTGTTCAACACACACGTATTTCTAAAATTGTATTTTAAATATATAAATATACTAAATCACTAAAGACACTAAATACTAAAGACACACATACCTCTTTTACCAGCTTTGTTTTGACAAATTTTCCTGCAAAATTTAAAAAGTAAAATTATTAAAATATACTTCACTACATTATTTGCTGAAAAAATAAGACTGATATGGGAAAACTAAGGAATAGCAGGAAACTGTGGAGAGCTTTAACGAATGTCCTATGTTTCTCAAAAAACCAAATGGAATGATGATAACATTTTTGTTGGATATTTTCATTGATTCATCTTTAAAAAGACTTCTCAATTGAAAGAACGAGCAGGAACTTACCTAGTTTAATATCTGGTAAAAAACTGGTGGAGAATTCATGCTCTGAGGTAAGAAACTTGTAAAGAAGTTCACTATTTTTTAACTGCGGCAAGGTTAGCAGTTTCTGTAACAAAATTGATATCAGCTTTAAAACAAAATCACATACTAAATCCAAACATTTTCATTTGAAAAGTTTCAGTTCATAGGTAAAGTGACTTTGAAATCAAGATAAGAAAAACCTAGGCATTGTAAAATTATACTAGATAGCAGTGGATTACCTGAAGATAATTTTCAAAATCTGTTTTCTTGCCCTCTGTAAAATCTTGTTTTTTTGTACCAAAGGATTTTTTGGCTGGAAGTTGACATTCAGGAAGTTCACCTGGAAAATGGATATTTAATGGTGATGAAAAATATACTTAGTATTGGCAGAGGAAAAAATTTTTAAATATGTGATTTCTTACCATGAAATTCTGTGAGTTTTTGCTCTAGAACATAAAACTCTGGATACCGTCTGAAAATAAATTATAGTAAGTTTTAAAATTCTGAAAATAGTTTTTTTAAATACATAATAAAGAAGATTAAATATTTCCAGCTCGACCACCTTTAAGGATAGAAGACTTAATTAAGAACAATAATATTACTACTTCAGTAAAAACACTTAAGGTTCTACAATAATAAGCTACAACAAATTCGACAAGACATATTACCTGGCAACTGTCCACTGTTGTTTTTTTTCTTCACCTAAGAAGATAGCAACAATCATGCGACATTTGCACACCAAAAAAAACAGTTCTTAAATATAAACACTGCTTAAATAAAACACTTATGAACACTTTTTATGAATGTAATTGTGCATTTTTAGAAATTTTAACAACAGGTTTTAATCTAATTTCAGATTAGTTATTTTTTAAACAAATGACAAGTTGTTAACTCACCCTCCTCAATATCCAGCCGTCTAATATCAATAATAAACACAAAATATTGTTTGCGAGGATTTTCTGGATCAGGTCGTGCCCCGATACGGGGAATTGTTACCCGCCATGAGCTGAGATCATGCATAGAATGATCCCCGCTAGTTAATGTTTCCTCCAGTTCCTCTTCAATTGATGGCTGTAAAAGTTTACCACACACATTTTTGTAATCGTTTCTTCATTTTAAATTACTAATGTAGCTTAAGATACAGATATTTCTTCTTGGTCTACAAAGCACAAACTAAAAAGATCTAAATACACATTATAGTAGATCAATTTTATTTAAAATTTATTATCAATAACTATTTGGTGACATTTTCTCACTATTAGCAAGTGTAGCTTTTCTTTCCATTTCTAAACTTTTTATACCACCACTTTTAAAACTAAGCCCACAAAAATTCCACACTAATGCCCGGGGTAAAAAACATAACAACCACAGAACAAACAAACAAGAGAACTGACTGTCAATGAGTTGAGAGAAATTCCATCCACGCCAACATCAATGTTGTTGCCCAGTTTTTCATCTGAGATAATAAATTAAGAGTTGTATCCAGAATTCAAATATTCGAGAGATAATGTAGTTTTACTGCAGTTGTTTGTTTTTTATTTAATTAAATTCATTTTTGAAATTTACTATTTAAATCATCACACTTTACACATTAAATTTAAGCATTAAAACTGTATGATTATGAATAAGGATTAAAAAGATAAAAATGTACCTGATTTAAAAACATCCTTCAACTTGTTGCCCAACTGAGCTAAAGTGAAGTCTTTCTTTTTATTTAGTCTAAATAAAATAGTGAAATATGTTCAATACAATGTCAAATGAAACTCAAAACTTTATTTTGGTAATTCGTTGTTTTAAAAATTGGTACCTTATGCATCAAAATCACAAATCAAATATTGACTTGAAAAAAGTGCAGGCTTGAACAATGAACACTGATAAAATGTGCCCACATAGAAATTAGAGCACAACAAATCAACATGAAAGAGAAATTGTAATAAATAAAACTTGAACACATTCTACAACTTACATGAAGCTTTTGACTAGAGAAATGTAGAAACTGTTGGACAAGGTTTAGGTATCAGGTATCAAGTTTTATGACACTACTGTCATAAAACTAACCATGATAAAAAAAACTTACAATTTTTTTTATCAACCAAGAACAAATAAACTATAATGCCTATAATTTCATTCTGTTGATGGTACTTAATAAATAAAATTAATAATAATGTATATAAAGAAAATTGTTCTGAACTTTAATAGTGAATAAACAGATGATATTGCGTAAATTTTATTTTAAACATGATGAAAATGATTGTAGTGTTTTGCTGTTTTAGCCATAGTTGGCACTGATATGAAATTAAGAACATAGATTTTCAAAAAGTTGTAAAGAAGAAAATAAAAAAATATGACTGAATTATACTCTTTAATTACATACCACAGTAAATTCCTTCTCTGACATTACAAACCCAAAGAATGACACTAAATTAATACTACAATAAAAACACACCAAAATCAAGGACAACTTACCTCTTTAAGTTTACATACAGATATTCATATTAAATTATTTGATGTTTTGTAACAAGAGATGAAAAAAGAATCTATAAAAGATATACAGAATCTAATTAACTATTCTAAATTTTGGGGAACTTTCAACCAGGTGTCAATTCAAGAGTGGCCAGCTACCATCAAACATTTCCCTGTGTTAACCTTTACTAGATGTTGAGCTCAAAGAGTGTTAGAACCCTCCTAAAGTTACACTAACAATATTAACCTGATATGTGTAAAAGTCCCATGAAATGAGTGGTGTGTTAGTAAACTAAAGTTAAAGTATATTTAAAATATATTTAAAATAAAACCTACTCTGGAAAGTTATTAAAAGGAAAGAAGTAGATATCATTAAGACTGCTTAAACTCTTTAATTCAGATAAATTTAATAAGGAAATTAAATAATTGTTATAAACTTGATATATCATATTTTGGTTGTCTATTTTTTCTAACAAAAATATACAATGCTGTTTTCATTTTTGAGAATTTACTTTTTATTTGTAAATTAGTCTTCAAACTCTGTTTTACAAAGTATTTGTATTATCTCAATAATTTTAAAAGACTTTAAATTAATTTGAAAGGGTATTTTTTAAATAAATTTACCAAACAATTTTTTTCAAATGCCAATATTTTTTCACAACAACTATACACTGTGAATCTTAAATGATTGGCAAAATCATTCATGTGTACAAATTAAAACAGTAACATACATTTTACAATAAATTTTTGTCAACTACATGCGGACAATGAAAGAAAAAGAAGAAAAAAAATACAGAAAGATTCAAAGAGCTTGTCTAAACACATGAATTCAACACAGAGTTCAACTTTACCTAAGACTGTTATTCTTTGCACTGAAGAAACTTTAAGAGAAATAAACCAATTTAATAGACCTACAAATGATCTTCTTTTAATATTTTAATACCTGCAAATATTTAACTTTTCAATTAAAATGTAGGAATCCAACCATGAAACATGTTCCTAGCAAAAGTCAGAAACTTTTTCTAGTAGAATTCGTCCATTTTTTAAGTCAACACTGGTTTAAGCTAGATTTAGTTGCTCTACTTTTGTAATACTGACCTTGACGATTGCCTTGACAATGATGAATTGGGTCGATCTCCACAAATCATACTGTAATACTGAATTTAAAAAATAAAAAATAATTTCCATCTGCTGCTTTTTTTTTTTACATTTCATAAAAAAATTGTTTGTACCTATGAGGCAAAAAACTAAATAGGCAGTTAATTTTCAGAACTATATGAATACCTGAGAATTTTAATCTTAATTAACAGAGTTATATTTCACACCCCCCCCCCCCCTTCTCAAATTAAATTTTTGTACTCACATCGTCACTTTGATGAAACATTGGTAGAAAGTTGTTCTCCAACAAATCATAAGCATGTTCATAAGCTCTGAAAGTAATATGATATTGTTTATTTAACTAACTGAACTTCTGTTTAATGACAACATTTATTTATACACATCTATAATTTGATAATGTTAAGCTCGTTGCCTATTCTTCCAAACCTATTTGAGCAATTCTCAGCTTCAAAGAGAAAGGTAGAATAATTAGTGAAAACTTACTTGAACAAAGGTGTTGTTGTGCGAAGCCGTATGACTTGATCTGGAGGACCTTCCACCACTAGAAAATATTATTTAAAAGTTCAATGATTTGTCAGGAAACAGGGGAAAAATTTTTAATTTCTGAATTTGATTTAAAATGTAATTATTTTAATTCACACCTTCCTATCTTCTAGTTATTTATTAAAAATAAATGTAGTTACATGGTAAAAATCTAGAGACATTACCCTGTCTGAGAGTTTCCACAATATCATCATCAAATTTGATCCTATCAAGGGCATTCGGTGCACAATAGTTTTTATACAAATCTTTGGCTGTCATATGAAGCTCCACAAATTCACTTTGAGAAACATCTGGGCTAAGTATTCGCCGGTTAAAATCATCTAAAGGATAATTTTATTTTATTTTGATTTGTTAGTTGCATTTTATTTCACTCTAAAAGCTCATGAGCTATTTATCTTTTGATTTAAATTTTAATAATATGCTGCTCATAAATCAAGACTAACTATTTAACACGAGAAACAAAGTTATAAAAGACTTGAAAAATCATAAAAATAATTAATGTCAGTTTATCCTTTGAGATGACTCAAATGAGTACTGAATGATACATATTAGTTCATAAAAATAAAAACTGAAAATCCTTACCACAGGCTAAACAAAACTGTAGTACATTGACAGCAGCTTCACTTTTGAGAAATTGCATGAACGGGTACAATAACTCAGGGCACTCGGGATTTATTACATCTTTCAATTCAAGACGCAGGCACTGCCGAGGATGATGTTTAAGATGAGTGAGATCAACAGAAAAATAAAGTAAGGTTTATCATTAGGTAACGTCTTCCATAAACAGAAGATTCTCAGTGTAATGGAGAGTTAATATTAATTTACTTACCGACCGGTTAAAAGCTTTTGCCTGGCTGAACTGACCCAGGAAAGGAACCAAAGGAGAAGGAGGCTCTACTGCTTGAGGTGGCTGTCAAGTTTGGACAATTAATGAAGAACAATAGGCTCGATTAAAGCTATGCTTAGTAACTAACTAAAAGACTCATGAGAAAAATACTTACTGGGGTAGTGTCAAAAAATATTAGCAGTAAATTGTTGATTAAATCCTGAAATGAAAAAACATTTGTAATGAACTGCTATTTCTAAAATCAAGATATACTAAATGCTAGCAGTATATATTACTATGGTAAATTTGAGTGGAAGGTAGAGAATGAGCTTACAGGATTAGCTATTGCATCCATGGTGGGTAAGAGCACAGACCCTGCCAGCAACTCTCTGACCAATGCACAGGTACTCCTATAAAGTGTGTTCAATTGTCAGAATTTTATTTCTGGACTCAATATCCATTTATTTTTAATAAAGAAAAAATACAATGAAATGTTTGTATTAAACATGTGTAAAACAATTACTGTTATGCATAGTTGACAAAGATTATATATATTTGATAAATATATTATAAATACAGAAATTATTACTGGTACTGTAAAATTTAATATATTCTTGTAAGACAACTCTAGAGTAAATACAAATATAGTGTGACCAAATTTCATAGTAATTAGCAGTGTCAACATGATTAAAGCAAGAAAAACATGGTGCCAATATAAAAATTAAAAATAAACGTCTTAGTATATTATTGAAAGAAAAGTATCTAAATTGTTTGGTAGAGGATTTGTCGAAACTAAATGTACGATAAATAATTTATAAGTAAACTAAATTATGCAATATTATTATTGAATGAATTTTAAGTTGAATTAATGATTTTTACTTTTTTTCAAATTTGGGCTAATAACCTTATTAGAATAATAATAATATTAGAAAAAGGCAACCAAAAAAACAAAATGTATGAAAATGTTATAAGACATCAAAGTTGAAGTGTATACTATTCCAGTGTAGATGTGCAAATAAAAAGTGAATGTTCAACTCAGCCAAAGAAAAGGTGAAAAAATCCACATCAAATTTCCAACTGAGTGCTGCCAGTGAACACATTTTTAGAAAAACCAATCAGCAGCAAACAGTCAACAATAATCTTAAAATCTTCTGTGATAACTTGCTGCTTAAAACATATTTAAACACTACAAAATCTTTATCACAATGAATAAATCCATCTTGTTACTCGCTGTGATAGACATAAACATTGATATTCAACATAAAGCAAAGAATCCATTAAATATTAAATTACAGGTTAACCAAATTTTTTTTATCGGACCATTCAAATACACTGACATGCACTCATTTAAAATCACAAACTACAAACACTCTTGCTTCTTTTCAGACACATTTAGTAAGCAAACATGATGTAGCTAAATAACAAGATTGTAATTTAACACATGTAATTCTAACACTAACTACTAAACAAATACATTGACAACCGACCAACATTTTTAATGTAAGCATTCAAATTGTAAAATACCTAACTATTTGTGAGAAAGTTGAAAACAAGCACCATCAAAAGAAAAATGAAATCAATTCAACAGAAACATGCATTAGGCTGCACTGTTAAATGAATTTCTTACTTTAAGACAGGGATAAAAGTATCTTTGTCGTAATCATCTGTTTCAGTGAAGCATGCACTAAATTGGTAGAATACAGTTGATATTAGACGCATTTCTGGTAGTCATTATTTGCTTCTTTTTTTTTCGCTTTTGAGTCACCAAAAGAGTTTTAGATGCATGTTACCCTTTTATTCTAGCTTGGTATTAACATGACATAACACAGTCAAGAGGAAAAACCTGCGTAACATTGTGGCAAACAGCAGAACTTGTTTCTAACGTAGCCGACACTCTCTTTTAAGTGGATATTTTTTTCTGGCTAAATTACCATCTGTTCCTCCAGTCAAAAACTGATCTGAATGTTTTTTAAAGTCAACATTATTGATCTTATTTACTGGTCTACACAAAGATAAGCAATCTCATTGGTTAGTGTTAGGATCAAATTTCAAGAGTTATACAACTACCTAGTTTCTGAACTTACTTTGAGTTAAGAGCCTGTGGTCTGAGAATGTAAGGAAATAAAGACTCCACTAGTCTGCGCAGGTACTCAAGCTCAGCTTTCCTGCTCCACATAGCACAGTGGACACTTGACCCCATGTAATCTAAAGAAATCTGCTGCAGGTCTCCTTTATAACCAGCTGTAAGATAAAAAACGTTGCTGGTCAAGCACATCATTACTTTATTTACTAATAAACAAGATTCTACAAATTGAAATGGAAATCAAAGATATGCTATTATTATTAAATACATAAAATACGAAGGGTTTGGTTTTCATAGAGTCATTATAAATAAGTTTTTACTACAAAAAATGTAAAAAAAAAAAACATTTGAAAGCGCAATACAAAAAATCTGGCATGAAAGCTACCTTTTTCAAAAGCTGTTATGGAAAGGTCAATGTGCTGCAAAGTAGCACGAAGAATCTTCTTTGTAACTAGTTCTGGTACATTAACCTGAAAACAGAAAGTCAAACTATGAAATTCTATAGCATTAGTTTTGTATAAAAAGCTTTTACTAAGAGATCTTGCAATTATATAAAAAGATGGAAAATAAATAACTCACCCAATACACAGACATTATAAAATATCTAAATAAATATGTATTATTTTACTAAGGTTATATAAGTGCTACATTCACCATATTTTAAAATAGTTAAATGTGTGGATGAAAAGAGCAAATACATACTAAATTTTAAAATTCCTCTAAATTCTTAACAGGAATTTTTTCAAACATGTTTTAAAAACATCTGATGATGAAGAAATTAGGAAGAGAAGATGGTGTTGGATAGGGCACACCCTGAGTGAATAACCAAACAATACCACTTAACAGGCATTATGGTGGGACCCCCAACCTCCCAAGAAAACCTGGTCACACAACCTAGAGGTTGACAAAGACTGGCAATATCTGTAGTCAAATTGAGAAAATGGCGCAGGAAAAATGACTGGCGATCTTAAGTTGTTGCCTTTTTTTAAAAGGACATACTATTTCACCTTTTTCATTCTCCTGAACATAACTGAGGCAAGGAAGCGGAAATTAGTTCGAAGCTCATCAACAAATTCTTCATCTTCACTAAGGTCACTGTAGAAAGAAAAGAAAAAACAAAACTTAAAATTGCTTAACAGTATAATACATTTAATCTATATTCTGAAAATAACTATTATTTTAAAGAAAAAATAAATTAAATGACTTATGATTTTTACTAAAGAGGGAAGAATATAACATTAAAAAGAATTATCTCTACTTTTTAAATTTTACCAACCTGTACCAAGTATAGACATATTCTTTCAAGACAATGCTGAAAAACTGAAGAATAAAAATAATAGTAAGAAAGTATTTCAAGTTCGCAATTTTTTTTAAATTTTGTAATTGATAAAAACATCTTTTTAATCTAGGAACCACCAATAAAAAGTCTAGAAAAAAACCTGCTTCCCTACCTCATCAAGAGCAATGTCTACACTATGATGAATATCAAGATTGGTCCATGGCTGAAAAGCCAAAATATTCAACTCAGGTCTGTAGAAAAACATTCACAGGCGATAAAAAATTGTAGTAAACTAAAATACAGTACATATTAATTAAGTATTAATTTTTTTTAATAGAAACAAACATTTTACCTGTGTCGTGGACATTTTCTTAATCCACAAACTGTACAAACTGTTTTCATCAAAGTTAATTCATCCTCCTCAGACTTGTGCTTTATAAACAACGGGTTTTTTTCAAATATTAATACACCAAAATTTAGGCATGACGTTCTATAGATAGTATTTTAACTAAAACAACATGACTGCGTTATGAGTTGATCACCAACAATTACTAATTTTTTTCCAAGTTAATATTTGATGTACATTTTGATATTTATAAAAAAAAGTAAAGTACAATTAAAAAGTTTCTTTGACCTCAGCATGTGAAGGAATTATGTGGTCAGCACTATGCTGGGCTGTTTTACTTTACTCTGCTTGTTAGGTACACATCAAACCTGAACGGACTCTTAATGTACTATAGACTCCAGGTTGAGAGCTGAACTCAATATTTTTGGGCTAGTCATCACATGCTCTATTACTCAACCAACAATCCTATTCTGAATATTATAATGAAAATGTATTACTCACCTTTGATTTTCTAATATATATTGGAAGTAAGTTGGGTAGTACATAATCTGGACTAGAAAAATAGAAGCATTTTAGTAAAGATTTCTTTTCTAATGTTCAAAATTAAAGAGTAGTATTTTAACACTGTATACCGAGTTGAAATCCTGCTTGCATGCATACACAAAATGAACTTATAATATTTTTACTAGCCAGTGTATTAAAATAATTATGATGTAGAACAAAACAATAATTTAGCAATAACTTACCTAAGTAAACTATATGCAAAGATAACACCGAGAATAAACGCCCAGAAAACAAACAATATGTGAGACAAACTGAAATGCATTTAAAAAATAACAAACATTTATTAGTTTGAAAGTAACAGCCGCATCTAAATTTGATCTGACTGTTCTGTCATATCAATAATCTTTTTATCAATTAACATACACAAAAGTATAAAAGATAAACGCTTGGAATTGAAGAGCTGCCCGAAGCACAACAGTTCTATCACAGTAATTTATTTAAAGAAGAATAAGTCTAAAACTTAAAAGCCAAGAAGGGGAATTAGAGCCCATTGTAGATGATTGTCTGCTGTCAAGCCTAGGGCCTCTGAGTGGCTCGGTGTCAGAGGTTTTCTTCTGTGTTTAATTTTTTTATTTTTTTCACAAGTAATTAAATCTTTTTGATATTTTGTTCCAGTCGTACCTTTAACAGTTAATCGTTATTATTAGTTATTGTAATATTGAAATTCATGTTTTTCGGTGTGTCATCACTACTCATCAACAAACCAGCGAGCTTGTCTTGTTGAGGTTGATATTTAATAATTGTAATGTAGGCCTAATGTAATGACATATTCAAAATCTAAGAGGTTGTTTTGTGTCACGCTCCAGCTTGAGGCCTGAGTGTCAGTCTTGTCAAGTTTCTTGTCTCAGTCTTGCAGATGCTGAGTGAGTTGTGATATAATTTTAAGAATTTTACTCACTTGTAAAATAATAAGTTAATGATCAATAGAACTATGCATGACGCGGTAAATTTTGAGTGTCTTTGTGCATAATATTTGAGCAAATACCAAGGTATCATCGTGGTAATTGCTTTTGGGAGCAAAATATATGTTTACAAACAAACTCCCCTCCCCTACACATCATTTTTCTCTGCGTTATTTCCCCTAGTGAAAAAAAAATGGGCGAAAATTATCCGGAAGCGGAAGTATTTATTTATTTTTTTGCGCAAGACAAATACATTTGTTGTCACTGGAGACAAGACTATTATGGAGTAGATGGCAACATTTTACTTCCAATTTTATCTGCTTAAAAATCTAAATGAAAGCTAACAAGGTAAATAGGTAAATATATCTTTTACTAAACAGTTTTTGCAATATTTTTGTCTTCTTATAGATTTTACAATTAATGATACAGGCCTGGTTATAGGCCTAATTAATTAGCCGAATTAATTAGGCCTAGTAGCCTATTTATTTTAGGTAATCTATCGTTTTGGGTACGTAAAATCGCCCGCGGCTAGTAATGTACGAAAACGTTACCTCATTGTCAAGGCTGTAATAGAAGTATATTGTGATATGTTTGTGTCAAATTATAGATAAATGAATAATAAACCTAAATCAACGGCTAAATATATCGATATAGGCCAGAAATTAACTTTAAACAGCAGTGTCTGCAAGCAAGATTTGCTATATAAACAGCAGCCATTTGTAAAATAGAGTGACTTCCGCCTGAATCTGGCGCTATAAGTCTATAAAAATAAAACTTTAACAAGATGGCTGCTATAGTAAATGAGCATGGTTGCATCTGTTGGAAACATCGCTAGTCTTCATTTATTACTGAAAAGTTTTAATTTAATTGTTTAAAAACAGGTACATAAATGAAAGAAGGAAACATTTTTGTATTTTTCAAAACATAAATCCTCCTCAAAATGTGAAATAATTATTAAAATTTAAGGAGTCACCTGTTTTTCACATTACTAGCCGCGGGCGATTTTACGTACCCAAAACGATAGATTACCTTATTTTATTATATTTTATATGTAGGCGACCGAGTTGATAAGAATCCTTCCATCATATTGTTGACATAGATTAAAAACGTGCTTTTTTTAGATTTTGCAAAGTGATCGGAAAAATAATAAACAATAAAAACTTCAGCCTAAAAATAAATCAGATATTTAATATTTTTATAATCAATGTTAAATGTTATAAATATTATATAAATATAAAAGTTGCAAAAAAAGAGAACTGAAAAATAATTAGATCTATAATTTGTTGAGTTTAACTTAAACTTTAAGAGTTTAAGTCTTAAGTTTAAGCCAGTTTAAGGCTACATTTAGATTTATTTTCAATAAACCTAATTTTTAACCCGACGTTTCACTTTCATTAGACAAACTTTGATTGGCTGTACAGGAACTCCATGATCGATTTCTAACAGCCCCACATCATACTTTTTTGTTCACAAAACAGTGAAAACTTTGCAGATAACGTTTTTAAATAACTCTGCAAATTTAAACCACATGGCCTAGTTCTGCTATTTTTTGTTTACCATAAAATGTATGCTAGCCCATCGGATAGCAGCATGCCACTGTTTATGTCGCCATTTCAAGTGAAAACCAAATTGTTTTTGCTTTTTTTTATTTAGTTACCAAAAATATTGAAAACATCAAAAACATCCAATCTTTAGTAAAGTCTGATAAAAACCAACCAGACAGGATTTTTTAACCATATTAATTTTAACTACGCCGTGCATGATTTTAAAAATATGGGCCTCTCGAATACCTTTGAGACTTTTCTCGCTCAGGTCCATTAGGCCAAGGCCTATTACTATTAACTATTTTAAATGAATTCTTATTATTTAATGTTTTTTAAAAAGCAAAGCTCTTTCTATATTATTTAATTATTTGTGATATTGGGTAGGCCCTATTGCTAATTTCAATTTTGCTATTTTTTATACCATTTTATTTAAATTATGTAATACTAAGTAAAACTAAATGCATTGTCAGTTACAGAAGCCCAGTTAATCACATTTAATATTAATTTTTTTTAAAATGATATATCCTGTTACTTTCAGCATTATATTTTTTAGTATATGGTAGTATACTGAGCAGTTAAGCCCTTGTTGGCATGGAGAGGTATGAAAACCTCGGACTTGTGGGAGAGGGAAGCTATGGCATGGTAATAAAATGCCGACATAAAGAAACAGGTCAGATGGTTGCCATCAAGAAATTTCTTGAATCTGAAGATGACAAAGTTGTCCAAAAAATTGCAATGAGAGAGGTTAAAATGTTAAAGGTAGGTAAATTTTTAATATTTAAATATTGTGGTAAGAAAATAAGCTTATCAGGTTGAATTGATGATGTTTTGTTTGCATGTTATTTTTAAAAAGCTATCAAAATGTTATTATTTCTTTTAGATGTATACTATACATAAGTGACTATGCAACAGTGTAGAAAAAAAATGTGCAAGAATAATTTATTAAACTTAAGGATATTAAGACTGTATCTTATTTACTTATTATTTTCAGTCACTTCATCATGACAATCTTGTCAATTTAATAGAAACATTTAGAAGAAGAAAGCGTCTTTATTTGGTATTTGAATTTGTTGATCATACTATACTAGATGAATTAGAAAAATGTCCCAATGGCCTTGATGAAAACACTTGCAGAAAAATTTTGTGGCAAGTTCTGAAGGGGACAGAGTTTTGTCACACACATAATGTAAGTATAGCTTTTTTAAAAATAAATCTTGCTGAATTAGATGAATAGTGCTTTTTATTTTCAGGTCTTACATAATAGTTAATACATTTTCAATTGTAGCATAACTTTTTTTTAAATATATAACTGGATTTTTTTTCTATTTCAGATAATCCACAGAGATATTAAACCTGAAAATATTTTGGTCAGTAAAAATGGCATTGTTAAAATTTGTGATTTTGGTTTTGCTCGGACACTAGCACAACCTGGTGAAACCTATACAGACTATGTGGCTACTCGATGGTATCGTTCACCTGAACTTCTTGTTGGAGATACAAAGTATGGAAGGTAACAATATACTTCTGATTAGTCTAGTGTAGGCGGAGGAATGTTGGAGGGAGGGGAAAGGTTTTTGAGTACAACAATGTAACTTTCTAAAAATTATTTTAAATATTTTAAAATAAATTAATGTTCCAATTAAATTGATTTATACTTTTATTTCCTCTGGCTAATTAGGTGTATTCTTTTTTTGACAATTAAACCAAAATTGCAGCCTTCAGTTACTTGATGCAATACTTTTCATTTAATATGTTTGTAAATGTTTGTTTTGTTTTCTTGGTTGTAATAAAGAATAAATTGATACAAAATACAGAATTTTTAAATATTTTCCCCTTTTTCAGAGCTGTTGATATATGGGCAATAGGATGTCTGTTGTCTGAAATGTTGACAGGAGAGCCCTTGTTTCCAGGGGACTCAGATATTGATCAACTGTATCATATCATTAGGTGTTTTGGTCAGTTAAAAACAAATCAAAAACTTTTACTAGCACAAAAAGTTTCTTTATTATTATTATGATAGGGGAAAATATGCATATATATATATATATATATATATATATATATATATATATATATATATATATATATATATATATATATATATATATATATATATATATATATATATATATATATATATATATAAAAATTAAATTTAAAATTTCCATAACAAAAGGAAATCTACCTACAAGGCATAAAGAAGTTTTTCACAGAAATCCACTTTTTTTGGGCATGAGACTACCTGAAGTGCGAGATGTTATACCTATAGAGAAAAAGTTTACACACATTTCAGATGACGCTCTGAATTTCATTAAGGTATGCAAAGCAATTTTTTTACACTTTTAAAGTCCTGAAGTAAATGGTTATACAAATACGATATGTGTAATTTTATAAGAACTACATTTTTACTTACATTGTAAAATGATATCTTCAGCTATAAAAGTGTGTACAAGTATGATCAAGCTTATTTGCTTAATATTTTAAATTAAATCAACACAATTGATACTGTTTATTAAAAAACTTTCTGTATGACCCAACCTTGTTGCTACATGTTTAAATTCTTATATTTCTTCATTATTTTAGCAATGTTTACAGTTGGACCCTGACAAGCGACCAACTTGCACAGAGTTGTTGAAACATAACCTTTTTGCAAAAGATGGATTTGGAACTCGATTTCTTGTTGAGCTGAAACAAAAACTATTTCAGGAAAATACTTCTAATCCATCTCTAAGATCATTAGCAAACAAAAGAAGTGAAGAAAAGAGCCCAGTTAAGGATACTAATGAGAATCAAAAAAGCAGAACAGACAAAGCTAATAAGAAAAAGAAAAAAGAAAGGGAGGTAAGAGTCATCTGCTTCTATAAATTTGTTTGCAGATTAATTTTAAGGGAGGCAAAGGTAGTCTGTAAAAAAAAAAATAACAACTGTTTGAATAATATGCAGCATAAATTATATTTATTATGTAACTTTTTGTAAGATAAAGAACCCTTAGCTACATAGATTAATTATTTTTAAAAGATTGATATTACTTTAATTCAACTAAAGAACCTTTAATATTACCTTACTTTAGTTATTAATGGTTTTATTTTTGGTATAAAATATTTATGGAAACATTTTATTTTTGTACTATCACAAAAAGTGTAAAAACTTAATTATAAAATAAACAGCTATTGATTTTTTGAATGTTTTCTATTTCCTAAAGGAGGTAACAGCAGTAGAAGAAAAACCTAAAAAGAAAAGCACAGAGGGAGAGAACAAACCATCAAACAAACCAGCTCCCCCTAAAGTGTCGTCTGTGCCGCCTGCTGCTGCACATCCCAACGAGCATCCAGTGATCCTACCTCCAGCCACGGCCAGCAACAATATTTCCCACAACAACTCCAGTGAAGGGGACATCCAGGCTGAGAGGGAAAACCCAGACAAGGAGAAAAAAATAGCTGACCACTTACACCCTCCGCAGACCCAAACAGCAAGCTCCATTCCACCCATTAATGTCACCTCCCAGCCACGGTAAGTTTACTTTGAATTATTAAAATAATTTTTAACGTCTTCAGCTGAAATGATTGTTAAATTGCTCAACAAATTTTCAATTGATAAAAACCATCTACTTTTTATTATCAGTCACAGAAAATTAATTATTATATGTTAAAATCAAGGATCTAAACATTAGCTGTCCACCATTTAGCAGCTGGTATTAGGTATTAAATGTGTTTAATTATCACCAGTAATTTAACTTCACTCTGTCAGTTTTTAATTAGCCTACTCATTTTAGGTTTTATTGTAAAATTTCATTGGGTCTATTTACATCAATAAACTAAATTAATTTAGAATAAAACTTTTTAAAAAATTTTAAAAAGCAATATTATTTTTGAAATTTAAAATTCATACATCCAAACAATGTTGGATTATATGAAAAAGGAATTTTTTACATACATATTTAATTAGTAAAAGTTAATTTCAATAAAAACTTGCAAAGATTAATTTCATCTTTTAAACTGGCTGGTAATGTTGTTTTGATTGTAAGTTCTACTCTTACCGTTTGCTTTTCCTCAGATCGACAACTATAGTTTCATCCAAATTCCCAAGTATTTATAAAAAGTATTTATGCATTTGATTTGCTATTTACTACACATATAATATGGCTTGCTTTTTCAGAGTTCCTGTTGTAAGAACATTTTTAAGGTGATCAATAAAATTGTAAACCACATAAGAATTAACATTTAACCTAGTTGATTTGTATTCCACACTTTAACAAAATTTCTTTCTTTAAAGAGTGCACGGCTTAAAAGAATTTTAAATAATTATTCACTAATAAATTTGAGCACTAAAAACAAATGGGAAATTCCTAAACAGATTTCTTTGTGGGAATTTGTGCACTAATGTGTGTGTTGTTTTTTCTTGTGTATTTCAGAAAACAAACTTTTTACATTTTAGACACTTTAACTTGGCTATGTAATTTTATAAGCTACATTTTTTTTCAACACCCAGAAATTATTCTTTAATTGTGGACATCAATTTGTATAACAGCTCATCTTTCTGCTAATATTATTGGGCAGCATCATTTTATGGTTTAGTTATTATACACTTGTGTAAATAAGTATATATATATATATATATATATATATATATTTATATATATATATATATATATATATATATATATATATATATATATATATATATATATATATATATATATATATATATATATATATATATATATATATATGTTTATATATAGGTATATATATGCTTAGACACAGGTATAAACATAAACACACTGTAGAGAAAATTGTATAAAACAAAAACTCTTAGTTTAACTTAAAATAACGGCAAACATTCTTTTCGTCTGTTTAAGCTGTTTGTCGCAAAGTGAGTAATTTTTTATTTAAGCAAACTTATAGCTAGATCTGTAAAGGACCCCTAGTTTTTTCTTAAGTCTTAAAATTAAGTCAAAACTTTTCTTTTGTTTTAAATAGTTTGCTTTTTAAAAAAAAATACTGTGCTTTAAACAAAATAAATAAGAATTCTTATATTTATTTCATAGAAAATGATTAATGAATCTTAGTTCAAGAAATCACTATACAAGTTTCAACCCAAAAATTTACTCCAGAAAATTCATGTGAATTATAAAAATTAATTCATTGTTGAAAAACAAACCTTAGTATTTGCTTATGAAGTTATTTTTAAAACTCAAAATATTTTAGTGAATCCAATATTTATATTTTTTTATACAAGCTAGTTTAAATGGTCATCTGAATTTATAATTTGTTTAAAACTATAACTTATCTCTATTTAAAGCTTTTTATTATGTATTTTTATTATATAATTTCTACTTCCTATTCTTTTTAACTGAAACTATCCTTTTATAGAAAATCTTCTAATGTAGAAATATTCAGTACTTCTAAAGAATGCCAGTTGTTAAACTATTTTTTTTCTAGTATCACTACACTATGCCTAACCCAGACTGTAAGCCATAACACTTACCCTAATCCCAAACTTAGCATAGATACCCACAAAAAACACATTAAAATGACATGGCATTACCCTTCTCAAATTCATAGAAGTATTAAATCTTCTATAATAATTCTGTAGAAAAATATAAATGTTAATATTATTAATTCCCTTTGCTAGTTTTTTTCATATTAAATCAATTTAATATAATTGAGGAAAGTTTATTTCTGTCTCAACTTTTATCTGAACAAAGTCTTAAAATAAAAATAAATATGAAATAATTACTTTCTTAATAGATTGTGAATGTATTGTGGTCTGTTGGCGATAAAATTAATTTTTTTTTTAAATCAACTATCAGCTCTACATTATTGATGTATCAAATTTTGTTTAATTACCATGCACAGTTTTATTTAAAAACTACTTTTATTTTTTGAATTGCTATAGTTAGTAAAGGTCTGGAGGCCTATACTGATCTAGTTTTATATTATACTTGTTTTCTTGAACAAGACTTCCATAAAATGGAATAGTTTTGTTTGTAGAGGTACATTTATTATCATGCTATTTGGTAAAATATTATTTTATCAATTTCAATGCTACTTTTTTTTATTGCTTCTTGATATTTTTTATTCATAGTCCTGCAATAGTCAAAATGAAAAATGATGAGAAAGTATCTCCACGTAACCCTCTGTTTCATGGAAATCGAACATCTTCATTTAGGTATGATCAGTAATATTTGTATGTTCATTACTCTCCTATTCTTTTTTTTTTTTACAAGAGCATCAAATATATGACATTTTTCTAAATATTTGGCAAACGATGACAGTTTTATTCTATCAGAGACACATTTGATTTATGTAGTTAATTTTCAGAGAAAAAAAACATATTATTATTAAATTATATGAGCAGACATCTATGTTTTATTCAGGACTTTTTCTAAAATTATCTATAATGTGCATGATATCATCTCTATTGGGCTGACCTCACATGGGCTGTGTTAAAACTTGTTATTACTTTAAACATAAAACATGGTATTATAAAGAAATAATTTGATTGTTCGTTATTCCCAATAAAAATTCATTCATCATTTTTTTTTCTCATTTTAAGTAATGAAAAATTAGTCAAGAAAGTGTCCCCCTTTGCAAAGAAATCAAATCCTGTCCCTGGCTTTAGGAACTCCCCTCAGCCAATAGTTCTAGAGAAAAGTTGCCTGCATGACAAATCATTGGAAAAGTCTCGATACAAAAATTCATCTTTTAATGAAAAGCATTTGGAAGATCGCCAGAGTGTTGAAAAGCAACATGATGATAGGCTCGGCGTTTGTTTACCAGAAGTTAAAGGTGCTGATGGTAAGGGCAGTTGGATTTGTTTTAATATAATTTGTAATATAATTTGAAAGGGATGGTTGTGTTACTGAAATAAAATCATTCTTGTCTAATTCTTAGGTAGAAAGGCATAAATATATATTTGCTGGTTTAAAAGATGTAAATAGTAATGTTCATCATTCTGTATATGGTAATGGTTAAAAAAAATTTAAAGTAGATAATAATTTTTCAGATTTATTCATAATTTTCTAATAGTGAAAAATTAATTATTGTAAACTTTAGTGATGGGATTATTTTCTACAAGGAACCAATATGATTGTACATTTTACAATGTCTCTTTTTTACCCAGTTACAAACAAAGCTAAAGAGAAACAACAGCAAAGCCCCTACAAAAAGTCCAGTATATCCAGCATTCCTCAAATATCAAACCTAGAGCCATTTATAACAATCTCCCCACAGGTTTGTTATATTTCATGTTCTTTTCCTTGCCCTGTGCTAAATATGGGTTTTAATTGCCTTTTTTTTATAAATTAGATGCATTTGAGCTGTGTTATAATGTTAATAATAATGTAAAAAAAAATTGTCAAACTGGCAATACATAGTGCGCTGGGCAGGTTCAGTGTGCCTTTACAAACCACATATTTTTATCTATAAATCTTACCTAGAATTAAACTGTTTGCATAATATATGAAGTATTTTCATAATTATCTTGTTTTCTTGAAAATTCAAGAATTTTAAGTCTTTAAATGAATCACTACTTTACTTTTAATATTATACTCTTTTCTCAATGGAGTTTAATTCAAACAATAGGATCTAACATTTTATTGCAACCCATTAGTTTGAAATAAAAAGTGTTGGGTATAAACAGACAATGATAATTAATCTGGAGTTTTGATTAATAGTACACTGGATGTGAGTTTTCTCTGATAAAAATCACATGGTTTATGATATTATTTATATTACAGCTTGACTCAAATGTGGCAGCAGAGAGAGATGGTGCCCTTCCAACAGTCTGATTTATTTTGTTGAGACATAGATGTGTCTATATTGAATCCAGAAAAATTATCGAAAACTTTTTGTAAAAATAAAACTTTTAAAGATGGTATTTATTTCTTATAAACCTGTGAGAATTTAGAAATTTTCTAAACCAAAATATTTAGATTTTATAAAATTAGGTGTTTATTTTATTATTATTGAATAGTAGTATTTTTACAATTTAAAGTATTAAATGCTTTTATCTTAACCAGGATTACAGTTTTTTTAAAAATCTGGCATGTTTGTTCATGTGAGTTACCAGCTCCTAGTCTGAGGTAGCCTTATAATATAACAATTTTTAAATTATGATTTATAAAACTTTTTCCCCCGTTCAATTCAACTTTAAATTATATTGGGTATATGAGCTAAATTCTGACTTGTAAAACTTTTATACTAATTTACCTTTTGCTATACAACCTTGATTTTGGCTTAAGATTACATTTTTAAAACATCACAGATCGGAATTTGTAAAAAAAAAACATTTTTTTTAAACTCTCACCTTTCAGCCTTTATGATTATTAAATTGTATGACAATGTGTTCATTATTTCCTTATCATTTTGCCAATAGTGGATTTTTTAAACAAACTAGCTTAGTACAAATTAAATAAATTTTAAATATTGAACTGGGTTAAAAGAACTGAACAAATTTCCTGCATGAGTCTCTATAGTTAGTGGTTGTGGAATTTTTAAACAGATCCTACTGCAAGTTTAAATCAATATGGGAATTTTAAAAATGCTCATGGTACTAGTTTATTTAATTTTAGCATGAATAGGTCAAACAATCTTTATATATTATTTAATTTTGAAAAATATAGTGTTAACTGTAAGTAAGTTAATAGTTAAAGTTAAAAAGATCTAGATTCTATAAATTAAATTGTGATATATTTTTTTTAAATAATTTTTTTTTTGCTTTACTATTTAAATAGATACATTGTGATTTTTTAAATTACTTTATCTTAAAATTAAAGCTTGCTTGATAATTTTCTGTTAAATATTGACTTGGCATATTTCACAAGAGTTCCTGATTTTGTTGAATCCTTAACTAGTGGCTTGATGTGGTTAGTGGTGTTTACACACCACTTGCTCATTTATGATTATTATAGTCATCATATAAGAATAATGTATAATCCAGTTCGTGGGTGCAATAAATTATGCTATTTAAGTAAAAAACATTTTCATTGTTAAATGGCGGGTATGTAAATATATTAAGAATGTACATTACTATCACAATTTTCCTTATCATATATGTGTGTTGCTTGCAGTGAATCATTGTGTGTTACACCTAGCAGTATTACAATTCACAAGCTCCAGTATTAACAAGTCCATTCACTTTCACATTTTTATTCACTTTTTTTTTAAATTCAACTTTTAAAATTTTTATTGCATTTGAATCCAAATATTCTGGAGTTAAATAAAGAATTTACAAAACAATAATAGCATTGTCACATAGCATTCTGTGTCTCTATTACATTGAAAAACTAGTTTGTTTCTTGGCAGAAATTAATCATTAGCTTACCCTGTAGTGAAACCCTAGTCCTAGGTACAATGTGGTCATCCATAAACAAGATTACATAATGACACTTTTTCGTCATCCCCCCCCCCCTCCAGACTATTATCACTATAGACATCGCCCCCACCTCCTACTAAAAAAAAGTAATGTTCTTCTTCAGTCTACCACACACCCTAAAAATAATTTTGTTTTTTTTAAACAGCAATTTCCCTCTAAAATAGTAATGAGCTAGGTCAACAATGAGTACATTAATACTTTTTATTTTTGGCAATTTAAAAACAAATTCCAGTAAAACTGTAATTAATAAAGGATAAATTCAGTTTTGGCTTTACTTTTTAAAATGTAAAATTATAATGTCGCACTTTCTAACACACACCCCTCCCCACCACCACCACCACTATACATATACATACCTTCACCTGGGAACAGGTCACAAAAACAAGTCCTACTTTCCCTCCCCCAAGGTGTGTGACATACCCCGTTTATAAAGACCCAATATTTTATATATATATATATATATTTATATATATATATATATATATATATATATATATATATATATATATATATATATATATATATATATATATATATATATATATATATATAATATAAATATAATAATGTATTAATATAATATGGCAAACAGTTGTTTTGTACTTTTCTTTAATCATCACTATTGACTATTGACCTCTGCATAGCGGTCCATTATTTTATAGTCTGTCACCTACAACCAGTAATCCCACGACGTTTGATTAAGGCCTTTCTCTTGCCATGCCCTGCCAAGTTCCTGAATACCTGTATTCTGTTTCCTTTATAATATTATACTTTTGTAATCCACACACATGATTTATATGCCGCCGTTTCCACGGTGAGCCGCCGTTTCCATGGTGAGTCTCATCTTCAGCTCAGGAAGTCTGTGTCATTCAAATCAAAAACAAAAACCTGCTGTCCTTGACTTGTTTCATGAAAATGATTCGATGTTGCTGTGTTTATTATCTCTTTTTACAGTTTTCACTGACTAAATTGTATGCCTTATTTTCACAATAAAATCTAAAACACGGAACATAAAATGAGTTTGTTCATCTATTTTCTCAAATACTATTTAAAGGTGATTATTGTTTCTTAAAAAGATCTCTCCGCCCGCTCCTCGTCCGCCCCTCCCCACCCCACGGACCAAATATAAACATTATAAATGTATCCGCCCCCCCCCCCCCCCCTTCCCCCGGAAACTACAACTGCACACCCTTCCCTCCCGGAACAAACTAAATGTTGAAAATAAACCCCCCTGGTGATGATACCATAGTTTCTTCCAGGCGTCTTTTCGGGGGGGGGGGGGGGGACGAAGCCCCCCCCCCCCCCCGAACGAAATGAAATTTATATAGAAAATATATACTTTTAACAGTGTCCGCCCCCCCCCCCCCCGAAGAAAGTCTACCGCCACCCCCCCCCCCCCACCCCGAAAATTTCAAGTGCCCCCACCCCCCGGAGAAAAAAGTCTGGAAGAAACACTGGATGATACCAAAAGTACAAAACTCTTATATTTTAAAGAGCTCTATGGCGTAAGCTTTAGGGTGTCAGTCAACTGGAACACCTTTCATTTCAATCAATTTCAATCTGGTTATAAGATAGAAGACTTGAAACGCCTAAGCCACAATTAAGAGAAGCTATTAAGAATTCAAATAGCGCAATATAATATGTATAATTAAAAGGAAAGGAGCCTATGTCTACAGATGTTTATGCAGCCTAACTAGCCAAAATTAAATGGATCTTTTCAAGATAAGCCCCGCCAATAAAGTTAAACCTCGCCATCTAAATAGATTATCAAAAAGCTTCCACTTTTAGCTTTTATTGAAGAGGGTGACATTGAGTCATGTCCAGTGTTCCCTCTAAGCTGCGCGGCTGCGCGGCCGCGCAGTACTTTCAAATGTGCCGCGCAGACATTTTCTGACCCCGCGCACAGATTACCAGAACGTCGGGCGAGCCTAATTCACAAGGAAAATTGTGGCCAGTGATTTGAATTAAGCGACATTTTTAGTTCCTGTTTTGTTAAACGAACAGTCTTTGTGTTTTGGGATATAAACAGAAACTACGGTTATCACTGACGGGGGGGGGGGGGGGAAGGGGGTGAGCTCGGTTGTCATAGCACAGGTCTAGATTATGACTTAACTCTCACCTGACCGGGGCTGTGTGACACTCCCATTGCTTGATTTAATGGTTTACCCCAAAACTGACCGGGGCTGACATCTAATACCTGCATTGTATTGTGAATTGAAGCTGACCCTGCAAGTTTTTTTAATCGTCACTTGACCCCGCCCCTCTCCCCCTCCACCTCATATTGAAACTTTGACGATTAAGCCAAGTCAGATGCAAGTTTTACGTTACTTAAGGTGGATGTTTTTGCTCTGTCTGGTTTAAAGATGTATATATTATATATCCGATTCTTGGGATTATTACGTGCATGTGGATCGAAATGTTTTAGTATGCACACACTGCTTAGATAAATCAGGAATAAATGTCCACTACTGTGTGCTATTTGAAAATGTTGAGGAAAAAGTGTGTGTAAAAAGCAGTACAACAACGTGGCACACAAAAAAGCGATAGATTCGTTTAAACTGGAATGGCTCAAAGTTAAAGTAACAACCGATACGCCAGATCAAAGAATGTTTTGGTTGAATTAGAAAGCACCTTAGAATACTCAGATGAGATTGGACAAGTGTAAGTTCTGTGCTGCTACTACTTGTAACAAAACCAACAAGAGCAACGAATTGGTCACAGGAAAGCTCTGGGAATCATGGGCGCTTGACTACTGAAAACGTCATTTATTGTCTCGTGTTTATGTAGGAAATGTTGCGATTTCGTACAACCGCTCAAATGGGACTGACCTTAAACGTCTGCTGGTTGAACTTACATTGAGCGAGGAAAACTAATTGAGCAAAACGAGCGCCAGCGGTCAAACGAGGATCAAGTTCGAATCCTAACGGATAATGTTCTTCTTACCATAAGGATGAACGCCTCGATGCTGTCGGTACAACTGATTCATAACCACATGGGGAAGTATGTTTCTATACCAGACAGTTGGCGAAGTAAGAAGTACGCCTTTGAGTTTGTTCAAGTATTCAACGATGTTGATGTAAAGAACATACTGACAGAACTTCGAGCAGCATCATTCCACACGCTTATAGTAGATGGCATAACAGTACATAAAATGCTAATCTTTTATTTTAAATTTCGTCCAGTCAATTCTGTATTCTACAAAACCGTTTTAGTGGAATAACTCAGCCTGCTGTAAGTGATGCCTTAGCTCTGGAGACAGCCGTAGCACATCACTACACTGAACATTAAAGCCAAGAAAAGTGTGAGTTAAACGAAAGAATCGACACAAGGCAAACCACACAGTACATACAATCAGTCTGCGACCATTTAAATGTTTGGTTTCCAGGAGATGAACTGCAGTTTTGGTCATCTTTTTTTATTCTACAGGTTTAAAAAAATGTGCATTTGAGTTTGGCGTCAAAGATATCAAAGAACTGTGCGTAAAGTACAAAGACGGGTTACGTACAACAAATGATCAGTTAATTACCATCCAATACAATGACTTCAAATTTCGATAAAGTGAAAAACTCAGATCTGTGTCTGTAAATTATATGTCTGAATATGCAAGATTTGTCAAAACAAAGAACAATTTAGCTCACTGGCAAAGTTAAGTGACATTATTGTACCTTCCAAGCATGCAGTGCTGATTACGAACAAGGTTTTAGCCTTATTAACATAATAAAAGTGCAAGCACGAAATATACTTGAAGCCACACATTTGGAGAATCTAAAGCAAATTAAATTATATCTAAATGCTGGAGAGGATGTGGATTTAAACAAAGCATATAAGGTGTGGAAGCAATGCAAGGTTAGACGCGAGAAATTGCAATAAATGCCCCTGAAAGGTTAGCTAATATTTGTTTTTAAGTCAGCTTTATTAACTGTTGCCTATGTTAAACTATTGTGTTTGTATTACCGTTATGGTATTAGCATTATTACCATATGACTGTCTTACTTTAACATAGTAAGTCGACCATATAACTTGTTGTCTAAGTATAACTCTGAAAGTTTTTATAAGTTTTTTTTTATTTTGATGGTATTCGTGTCTCCATTTAATTGCATACGTTTCATTAGTCACACACATTATACTATTAATTTATCAAAATGCATGCCTTCATTATTATGCTTAATTGCAAGACTAAAAATACGTATTATTTTGCCCAAGTCATTTTTAGCACCGCGCACACTACATATTTTTTGCACACACACTCTTGGTCCTTAGAGGGAACATTGGTCATGTCATTAATAATTTGCATGAAAAGGTCTGTATTTCGGTACCTTTAACCCTAACCCTCAAGTCTGCGTGCGTGCATTAAATTGCCGCTGGCTAAAAATGGCGGGGCTTAACTTTTCGTGCGTGCACTTTTTTTTTAAATTAATGGCGGGTTGATCCTCTGTCCTGTGCCATTTCCTCAACCTGACTCCAGACGAAACCGATTTTTTAAAGTTTCCGCCTCCAGGTCCCGTCACCAGGTGTTTCTTGGTCGCCATCTTTTTCGCTTTCCTTGAGGGTCTGGTGATATTGGTCTGCGGTCTGCGCAGTGTATGCCCTATCCAACCCCATCTTCTTTCCTTGATTTCTTCATCAGCGGAAATTTGTCCTGTCGTTTTCCATAGGTGTACCGTGTAGATGGTGTCGGACCAGCGGATCCTGAGTATTTGTCTCTGAAGTTTTTGTAACGCGCTTTGTTTTACATGTCGGGGTTGTTAGCCCAGAGCCCAACCATCTGGTATTCTGGAAATCCTTTTTAAGATCACATGATAGCTGCGGATTTTGGTCCACACATGGTATTTGATTTCCCCAGTAGCACAAATAGTGGACATTCCACCATCATCCACATTGAAAGGCACTTGATGAAAGATCGGCAATTCCACACGAGACTTGTCTGTGTCTGTAGATTTATTTGCTCTATGAATAAACTCTGCTTCAGCACAAGTTTGTCCTATAAACCTACGAACATTGGTGGTC